AGTCCTCTGTTCTTCTGTATGCAACATGTCTGTACTTCTGGCTGCCTTCAAAAATTTTCAGGAGTTTGTGATGTGTTTAGTGTGTGTGTATGTGTGTGTGTGTACACCTGTGTGAGCTATTTGGATTGTCTGAGAGCTAGTTTAATGCCTTTGATTATTGGAAAATTCTGAGGTTATTTCTTCAAATATTTTTTCTACCTTGTTTTTTCTCTTTCATTTTCTCTTTATAGAATTCTAGTTACATGTGTATTTAATATATAGTTACATGTATATTAAATATACATCTAACTGTTCTGAAGATGCTGATGCTTTTTTTTTTTTTTTTTTTTGTTAAGACAGGGACTCACTGTGTAGTTCAGGCTGGCCTTGAACTCATGGTGATCCTCCTTCCTCAGGCTCCCAAGTGCTGGAATTACAGGTGTGTGTCACCACACCTGGCCTGTTTCCTCTTTATGGTTCAATTTGGGTAAGTTTTACTAATGGATCTAACTTGAAGTTCACTGAGTTTTTCTTTAGCTGTGCTGAGTATACTGATGTGGGTATTTTTCAACTGTTACCATGATTTTTATTTCCAGCGTTGTCATTCAACACAGTTTTCATTTTTCTGCTGCAAGTTTGTGTGTATTCATACATCTTGTCTATATTTTATCCCAAAGCCTTTAACATAGTAATCCCAGTTATTTTAAATTTCTTTTTTGCCAGTTCCAGTATTTAGGTCATCCGAGCCTGGTTCTATTGATTGCTTTGTTGCTTGACAGTAAATTATTTTTTCATATAATTTAAAAACTGATTGCTAGGGGCTGGGGATTTAGCTCAGCGACATAAGCGCCTGCCTTGCAAGCAGGCAGTCGTGAGTTCGATCCCTGGTACCGATAAAAACGAAAAAGACAAAAAAAAAAAAAACATTGCTAGATATTGTGTGCAGGAACAGTGAAGCAGGCATACTGTGAGTGTTTGGTATGGCATATTTCTCTTGATAGGTTGTTAGTGTGGGAGTTGAGTCAGTCTAGTCAGAAACTGAACTGGCCTTTGTTTTGCTGTTGCTCTGATTATCTTTGTTTATGACTGGCTTCAGGTTTCTCATTCACACACTCTTGGCTGGGGTAGGGGTGGGTGCTGCAGAGTCCTCTAGGTGTGCTTCCCGTCTGCGCAGTTTGCCGTGTGCTCTGTGCTGCTGTCTGAGAGCTGTCTGTCCCTGTGCTTTTGCTACCTCCCACAGTGGCTACCTGTGCTTGGCAGTGGCAGGTAGGTCCAGCCTGAGTCTTAGGCCTTTTCTCCCTGGAGCTTTCTCAGTAACTGCGTCCTTTTTCTTGCTGTAGGAGGCTCTAACTCTCTGGGCCTTGGGTGTTTCTTGCCTGTCCCCGCAACTCGTGGTTGCTTTCTTTTCCTTTCCTTGGCCATCATGAACCTTCTGTGCTCTGGATTTGACAGGATTTGCTGCTCTCTCTCTTTTTTTTAATCCTTCCAGTTTTGTTCCACTAGGGAAAAGGGTGCAAGCAGGCTTTGTGCTGTGTTTCCCCTCTCAGCAGCCACGCTGCTCTTCCAGGCCCATTGCGGCTTTTTATTCAGCAGCATCCAGAGGGAGTGATGCTCCCGGGCTTTGTGCTGTTCCTCTGGCCCTTAGCAGTTTGGAAAGGTGTGACTGAATTGAGTTTCCTGTCCTGTGTGGTGCTCGATGCCCCTTCCCGGGATCTCTCAAGTCGCCCCCCCCTCCATTGCTGTCTCCTAGGATTTAAGTCTTGTCGGTATTCTGCAGCCTCGCCCCTGATGGAATGAGAAAGAGCTGTGATTTTGTGGGTTAGTGGGCTTTTTTTTGCTGTTAGGGTAAAGCAACATTCCTTTGCTCTGTCTTGGTGTTAGCCTGGCTGTTTCCTCCCTGCGTTTCCTGTTGTGTATCTCAGAGCTGAGCCTGTTGTTTTTGTAACATGCATGTCCATCCTTACCTGGCTTCACCGAGTGAAGAGGAATTGCCTTCAGCCACTTCTACAATATATGGTGTAATTAATGTATATAAATCACCAAACTTCCTTTATTTTTAGAATTTTTAGTATAACAAAAACAAATTTGAGTTTGTTTTGTGAAACTGATACATCAGGATCTGGTTTGATGGAAGTGGTTGCAATTCTTAGTGAGTTCTCAAGGAGCTCATCAGAGGTTTTTGAACTGACTTTGCTGTTAGTGTGCTTTGTTGTTGGAACTAGTTCACAAATGTACATCCTGCCAGAAAGCCGTGATGTGGATGGGATGTCGGGACTGTCAAGTGAGGGAAGATGGGTGAGCCTAGTAAGAGGCGTTGGTCAGAGTTTACTTTTGAGTTGATCTGATTGTAACTGTATACTTTTTGTTTGTTTGTTTGAATCAGAATTTTACTATATGGTTCAGGCTGGACTTGAACTTGCTGTGTAGCCCAAGCTGGCTTTAAATCGCAAGTGATCGTCTTGGCTCAGTCTCCCAAGTGTTAGGATTATAGGCATGTGTCACCACATTTGGCTTGCAGCTCTATACATTCTAAAAATTAGTAAATAAGCAATCTTTTTTCTTCTTTTTAATATGTATTAGCACTATTATATAGCTGGTTATAATGACATGGGTGAAAAACTATTCGTTACACTTCTGTACTTTTCTTTCTTTTTTTGGTTTTTTGAGATAAGGTCTTGCTATTGTAGTTCAGGCTGGTTTTGAACACAGTGTAGTCCAGGCTGGCTTTGAATTCCTGGCTGTCTTCTTTCCTCAGCATCCTGAGTGCTGGGATTACAGGTCTGTGCCACCGGGCCCTGCTGGTAATTGTTAATCACTGTTTTCCTCACCAAGCTGCAGGAGAGCATGTAATGTCTGATACCTGCAGGCTTCCATTCTCCTGACTGCGGTGGTGGAGCGAAGGCAGAGTTGACAGTGTGCTGTGCCTGCCCCGTGCACTGCCGCTGTTGCCTGTAGTCTGTGCTTGAGCTACACAGCCTAGTCATGAAAAATATTGCTGAAAATCGTGTAGTAATGTTAAAAGTTTATCGTCTTGGGCTGTTTTACTAAATGTCCAGGACTGCATGTGGGTGCTGGGCCACAGGTTAGACATAGCTGGTTTAGCCATATGTAGACAATACTGGTAGAATTATGTGGTTAAATTTTGTTAGGACCTGTGCATGTAGCACTAAATTTTACTGCTGATACACTACTATCAAAATTGATCAGTGACTGTTTTGTTCTCAAGGAGTAGAGATTTAGTTTTTAAATGTCCTTTGTTGCTATTAATAAGTAAGAATGAAAAGTACTTCCACTACTGCTACCACTGCTAGCGGCAATTCTGCAGGTTTATCAGTGTTTACTGAGTGGCAGGTCTTATGCGAAGTGCTTCAGTGCAGTTTGTCTCTGCGAATCCTGTCCCTTCTGAAGGAGACACCTCATGGGTGACTGAGGGTGCTATTTAGCCACAGCTCCCCCTGCCCTTCAGTGCTCCTAATGGCAGCACATTGTTGCTGGTGACACTTTAGACTAGGGTAGATTCTCACTAGGTGTGAGAAACTTAATTCTTGGTGGGCCACTCAGACTGTGTTACCATCCAGGGAGAGTTTACATTGCAGAGCAAGGGGGGCCCTCATAAATATATTCACCTGTGCCCAGGACCCTCCTGCTCTCAAGTCAGACTCACAGGTGAGGAGGAAGCACCCAGGGACCCTCTTGGTCACTTTCTGTAGGCAGCTTCCTAGTATTTTGAGAGGCCAGTTTTCCCTCAGCTGTGTTTTCTTTTTTTTTTTTTTTACCAGTACCAGGGATCGAACTCACGACTGCCTGCTTGCAAGGCAGGCGCTTACGCCACTGAGCTAAATCCCCAGCCCCAGCTGTGTTTTCTTCTTCGCTCTTCATAATAGTCTTATGGAGACTTATCTATGTTAAATAAAAGAAGAAATTGAGGATTAGAGATAATTGATTTTCTCAGTGTTCCACAGCTTTATAAGAAACCAACAACAGGCTTTAAACCAGTTGCATTGCCACACAGTAACAATGGCCTCATTTGAACCTACAGCTGAAAACCTCATATTAAAAGATCATGTTTCTTTTCTTTCTTTCTTTCTTACTTTTTTTTTTTTGAGACAGGGTTTCACTATGCAGTTCAGGCTGACTTTGAACTCACTTTATAGCCCAGGCTGGCCTCAAACTCACAGTGATTTTCCTGCCTCAGTCTCCTTAGTGCTAAGATATGGATCACATTTCTAATTTGCTGATGCATTTTGTATTGAGCTTATTTTAGTTTTGAGCAGAAAATACTGTCTTCAGTGAAACATCCAGATTCAGAAACAGACAGAAAGCAATTTCACAAGGCCTTGGATTATTTCTTATATTGATGGACCTGAAATATCCTGACTAAGAACTAAAAGATAGATTTGAACTTACACAGTGAGCCTTTTTGCCTTCCCCAGCATCCACTTCAAACATCCGGGGGACTACAAATACTCTCTAAATGTAATGGTGCAAAGTGCCTTGTCCAATGGGCTTTTCTGAAACTGACTAGAAACTTTCAGATTTTCCTATTCTGTGGGATTTCAAAATTTGTCAGCAAGAATGTAGGTGAAAAGTGTAAGTGGATAGAAATAGTAGGAAGAGGTGCAGTTGTTGATTAAATCTTGGGTGTTATTTGTTAATCTTGTTTGCTGGTCAGGCTTTTCTGTTAGATTCTGAGGAGAATGAGCTACTTTTACTACACGATTTTCCTGGTGGCTGATGGTAGTTCGCACTGTAGTGTGAAAAATATGTGTGGTTTGGTACGTGTTCACCACCACTGTTAGAGAGCTAACTAAAAAATCCTACCTTACTAATAGTGTTTTGAAGGGAGCATTCAACATAGAGAGGACCTCGTTAAAAGTGTTAATGTTATATGGCATTTATTAACCTTGTATGATTTAATGGAACTATTTCTTTTTCAAAACCATTGAGATGGAAACCCAGTCTTGAGTTAAGGTCAGAGAATTTTCAAGTTGCTGAAATGTTGTATCCATTTCTGTTTTCAGCTCCCAATTGAAGACTCGTGCAGCTTAACATCCCAGTCACTGCCCCTTGACTTGACTTCAATAGTGCCTGAATCTACAGAAGACATTCTCTTGAAGGGTTTTACTTCCTTAGGAATGCAAGAAGAAAGAATTGAGACCGCACAGCAGGTGAATGGCAATTATCTTTTCTAAACATACAAGATTATTATAGATGTAGCAGGACAGGCTAATAAAAAAGGTTCTAAATAAAAGGTCTGAAATTTGATACCATAGTGATTATCAGATTTTTCTAGAACATTTTTGATTTTGTGTAACTTTATTATTTATTTATTTACTTTGGTACTGGGAATCTAACTCACAACCCACATTTGCCAGGTAGGTGCTTATGCGGCTGAGCTAAATCCCTGGCTGTTCATTTATATTTTTATATTTTTGAGGCAGGGTTTCACTGGCAGTTCAGACTGGCCTTGAACTCACTCTGTAGCCCTGGCTGGCCTCAAATCCCCAGGGGTCACTTGCTTAGCTTCTTGAGTGCTGGGATTACAGGCATACACCACCACCCGACCAAGCTATTATTTGTTTTAAATGACTCTACTATTCAGCTGTATTTATGGTAGATATAAGTATGGTGGTCCACATCTGGATGTTGATGAATTATTATATTTATTAAGGTTTTCATATTCTGTGCACTTTTGATTACCCTAGTATGTCTATTAACCTGTCCACTCAAGCAGACACATATGGTACACACGTACAAACATACACATACCCCCCTCTCTGCTTGTTACTAGGTAATTTCCACCGACCTGTTCCCCTTTTTGTTTTGGAGACAGGATCTTGCTGTGTAGTGGAGGCTGATTTTGAACTCAATATGTAGCCCAGGCAGGCCTTGAACTCACAGTGGTCCTCCTGCCTCAGCCTCCTGAGTGCTAGGATTGCAAGCATGTAGTCATGCCTGGCATTTAGGTAACCCCTTTTAAGAGAACCCTAAATATTTTTTAGATGAAACTAAATATTATTTTTCAGTAACTTAGCATATGTAAACTTTGGATTTTGCTTATTGCTAATTATAAATCTAAATATGCCTTAGTTTCTTCAGACCCTTCTTTGTCTTTTTTTCAGTACATAGAGATGTACTGAATTGCATGTGTAGTACTTTGCCAGAGGCAGTGAAGCAGAGTCAGAGCTCCAGCTCTTGATTTAGCCTGACCCGTCTCTTACCATCCTGTGTGCTTGGGCAGGTCAGCTCACTTACACTCGTGGCCTGTGGTTTCCTAATCTGCGAAACAGCGGTAATTACATACCTATCTCATAGGATTTTTGTGAGAATTAAATAAGGGAACACGGGGTGTGGCAAGCATACAATAAATGCTCAGTAAGTGATTGCCAGGGTACCTGGAGCAAGTCTGTACTCCTTTGACATTGAATTCCTCTTGAGAATTCTAGATGGTAATTGAGCAGTGAGTCTGTGAACCTCTTTAGACTGTCTGAAAACAAAACCTTCTGGATTAAAATTGACTTCTATGTCTCTCTTTGAAAGTTAAAGAAATTAATACATTAAGTCATAATAAAAAGTTTTAAAATATCTAATATGTTGAATTATGAATTTATATACAACAGGAGGTACTAATTTTAAGTGTTAGCTGAATGGGTTTTGCCAAGTGTATACTGGAATAACTGCCACTACTACCACGATATAAAACATTTTTATCATCTCAAAAAGTTTCTTTATGCTCGGTTTAAGGGTGATCCTCACATGAATTTTTGTTCTTTCTTTCCTGATAGTTGGGTTTGAACCCAGGACCTTTGCATTAAGCTATATCTCTGCTCTTTTAAAGCTAAAAAAAAAAAAATTTTAGCCAGATCTTGCTGAGGTGCATGAGCATGACTCAAACTTGGGATTCTCCTGCCTTAGCCTCTTAGAGCACTGGGATTACCGGATGATGGTACCATGCCCAGCCTTGACTGTTTTTTTTTTTTTTTTCCGTTTTTATCGGTACCAGGGATCAAACTCATGACTGCCTGCTTGCAAGGCAGGCGCTTATGCCTCTGAGCTAAATCCCCAGCCCCAACTACTTTTTAATAATAGATATTTTTCATAACATTGGTAGTAGGATCAGGATTCAGGTTGATAATTTAGGTGATGCCAAGGTCCATATTCTTAAGCCACTAAATAATCTTATTTTTAAGTTTTTATTCTCAGATTTCTTGACTAGATAATAATATTGATTGGCTTTTACCTAAGGATATGTTTATTGATTTTTACCTAAGGATATGTTTGCTAACTATTCAAATTTGGCAAACTAGTAAATAGGCATTAACTTCTTAGGAAGGAATTTTTTTTATATATAATTATGACTTTTAATACTCTTACTGAACTTTGGAAATGGCCAATATTTTTAAACATCATTTAGTTTTCTTAGCATGTAAATATTGAATATATAGTAATTATCTTCAGTACCTGACACTCACAAGTTAAAGGAGAAAAGACTTATTTGGCTTCTAGCTTATAAGGGTTTCAGTTCAGTCGCCTGGCCCCAAGCAGGGCAGCATAGGAGAGGAGAAACAGCTCATGGTGTGGCAGAGCAGTGTGAGATCAAGGAGGAGGGAGGGAGGGGACCTTTCCAGGCCACACCCTCTGTGACCCACCTCCTCTGTCCAGGCTTTGGCAGGACATCCAGATATAAGCCATCACACTTGGCTTAAAGTTAATTATTTATGACTGAGCCTTAAACAGTAAGACTTAAGTAGTGTCCACCCTTTTGTGTTGCAGTTTAGCGTGTGTTACTTTTCATTTTATCTTAGTTTGGTTGACAATATAATATTCTTGATTTTTCCAGTTTTTTTCCTGGTTTGCAAAGCTGCAAACTCAAATGGATCAGGATGAAGGAATAAAATATAGGTATGTCTGGTTCCTATGTTTGTTGGATATCATAATTTTTAGATCCCAGTTGCCTCATGTATTTCATATTCTGTGACTTTAATGTGCAGAGAGGACAGCAGTGTACACACTTTGTTTAAAAATAGCCAGAGAGGAGATTTAAGTCATTATAACTGGTATTAAAAGCCATGTGATTAAAAAAAGATATCTCTGGGAAGGGCTAGGTTTAAGTTTTACATGAACTCTAAGTAAGAGGTGTTTGTTGCTTTCCTATTTAAGGGGAAGCATCCACCAGAGACTTGAAGAGTGGCCACCTGGATTTAGCTCTGGTTGTATATGCTGATAGCTTAGGGAAACATGGTTCTAGTTAATTTCAGGTTTATGGGTTGGTATTCATATTCAGCTAATATTTATTGATGGCTGCTATTGCTAGGCAATGTGTTAGGCTCTTTGATGGAAGATCTTCATTTAATCTTCATAGCAGCAGTATGAGCAAAGATAATTATTCTTTCTGTTTTACAAAAGAACAAACTGAGGTCTATAAATATTTAGTAACTTGCTCAATGTCATACAGACTTAGGTAGAGCTGAAACTTGCACCTGTGACTTCCAGTTCCCATTCAGAATTCTCCACAGCATCACACTGTTCCTCAAGGACAGCAGTGATCTGAAAGGTCTGACCGACCATATTTTGTGCCTTGGACTGGCTTGGTGACTTACTCTTTGAAAGTTGAGCTTACCCATCTGAAAAACCATGATGAAGTTAATGTTTTGCTGCTGTTGCTTATACTGTCAGTGAATTATTTTTAAGTATTGAAATACTTTAACTCAGCTTTTGATATATTTCTGAGTGTAATCACTTTTCCTAGTAAGTCAGACATTCCTCCTGAAATTCAAGTTTGTGTAAAAAATGAGACTTTCTTGTTTATTTACTGTGCTTATTGGGGAAAATATTACTGCCAATCCCCTTTTGGTTCTGTTTTCTAGACAGATGAGGGATTACTTGTCTGGGTTTCAGGAGCAGTGTGATGCTATACTGAATGATGTAAACAGTGCCCTTCAGCACCTGGAGTCATTACAGAAGCAGTATCTTTTCGTGTCTAATAAGACAGGAACCCTACATGAAGCCTGTGAACAGCTGCTAAAAGAACAGGTAATTTGGATTGGAGAGAGGGTCAGTGATTGTAGTTAATATTTTATTTTAAATAGATGGATGCAGTTTAATTTGATTCCTTAATCTCTGTAAGTATACATTGAACACTGCTGTGAATGAGTCCTGTGCTAAGTGTGCCGGTCAGCCTGTTTCCTAAATGAGCTCATACAAAGAGGGGCTGATGGAGGCTTTCCTGTGCTATGAGCTGTCAGGTCTCACAGCAGAGTTTGAGAATTTAGTGGGTGTATTAGTTTGCTCTGTCCATTCTTTATTATTAACATTTCACAAACGAGCAGAGTGATTGCGTTAGCAGTGCTGTTTTTTAAAAGGTAAATTGATTGAAATTGCACTTAAATTGGTAACTGAGAGAAAAAAACATTGAAAACTATGTCTTGGAATTTTCTTTGTATGTATTTTATGTGTTTTTGAAGGCAGTCATTTATTATTTCATAAATCATGAGATTTACTTTGATAACACATCTTTTAATACATGGCTGCAGGAGTAGTGACCGTTATTTGGATATCTGTAAACATACATGTCTAATATAAATCTGCTGACAGTAATCTTGAGACTGGAGTGTTGATTCTCATATTCTTATAGTAATTGAATTTTCTCTTTTGAAAATGCAAGTCGGAACTTGTTGATCTGGCTGAAAATATTCAACAAAAGCTTTCTTATTTTAATGAATTGGAAACTATTACTACAGTAAGTGTTTTTTACTTTTTTTGTAAAGCGATTGTGTATTGCCTCAGCATAATTTTCAAACTTAAAGTTAGCTTGAGTTGCACTGTAACTTAAGTAGAGATACTGTTACCACCTGAGACTTTTAAAAATATGGTTTAAGTAGGGTTTCTTAAGTTGTGTTGTTAAAATCTTTTAATTGGTTGTCTTGTACCTTATCTGCAAACTGTGAGGAAAATTGTAAGAAGAAATACTCAATTTTAAATCTTGCTGTGATTGTGTTACTTTAATAGTGAAAGCGTTTTTTGAACAAACTTTCATGTTTAGTTTGAAGAAATGTAGTCTTCCTAATGGCCCTACAAGTAGTCCCCATAAAACTGTTGTGTAAGTTATATTTGTTTCTCACTTATAAATTAATTATTATTATATAAATCATGCTATTAAATTATTGAAATAATCATTATAGGTTAATAAAGGCATAGAAATAAAGCTAATAGCATGGAAGTAAAATCATAGAATGCAGTGAGAATTAGTTTATTGGCAAACTATGTAAAATCATGAAATAATTAACTAGTAATATTTTACTTTTATAATATGACTTAAAGTTAATCCTTTCACTATAAGAAAATTGCCAGCTTTTGAAAGTGGAAAAGTTATATATGTTATAAAGTACTAGAAAGTGGGAAATCTAGGTACCTGATATATCTTAAAGGAAAATGTTAATTCAGGTTAATAATTTTAAACTTTTACTTGTATTTCATTTTGTGAATTGATTTTTTTCCCTTTGAAGAAATTGAATTCTCCAACGTTGTCTGTGAATAGTGAAGGATTTATACCTATGCTGGCCAAGTTAGATGATTGTATAACCTACATTTCATCTCATGTAAGTAGGGATAGTCGTGTATGTTACAAAGAAATCTTAACATTCCTATTACATCACTTCTTATGTGCCACAGTAATTATTTCTTTTGGAAGGAAAAATACGGTCAACTCTGTATCCATAGATTCTGTATTTATGGATTCAATGAACTGTAAATCATGAAGACCCAAAAACTCGGCATCTGTGCTGACGATGTACAGACTTTTTTCTTGTCATTATTTCCTAGACAATAGTGTAACATTCACATTGCATTGGGTTTTATAAGTGATCTAGAGATAAAGTATATGAGAGGATGAGTACAGATTATATAAAAACAGATTATATAAAAACAGTGCCATGTTAGGAATTAGAGCACCCCTGGATTTTCATATTCTTGGGGTCTTGTAACCAGTCCTACATGGATCCGAAGGGATGATTGTACATACTTATAACATGTTGAAGAAAAGCTAGTAAATTCTTTTGTTGTTTTTCTAGTATAAAAGCACAGCACTTTTAAGCTCCTGAGGCTACCACTAGAGCAGAATTGCTCTTGACTGACTCAACTTTATTTTACTCAAAAAGATTTTTAAGTTGTTTTTAAGTCCTGGTATGCAAGATACTTTCTTGGAATTGGAAAACGTTACTTGGGGAGCGAAAATGACAAGCTCCTTGGGAGTCATTCTTTCTGTCTCTCACTCTCTCTGTGTCTCTCTGGCTCTGCCTCTTTGATCCTGGAGATTGAATCCAGTCCTTTGCACTTAGCTACATTTTTCATTTAGTGAGATAATCTCACTATATAATAGATGTAGATAATTTTAATAAATAAATCTGAATAAATAATAATAGATGTAGATAATCTTACACCAGGCTTGAGTTTGATGACCCTGCGACCTCAGCTTCCCAGAGTACTGGCCTTGTAGGTATGTGCCACCATGCCTGGCGGGGCTCTTTGTTTAATAAGTCTGTCTCCAAGGGTTTCTCTCTTCTAGTTGGACTTTACCTGTTAGCTTCAAAGTCCACGGAGTGCTAGCGCCGCAGGTACTGAGCTTCTACTTTGTGCCAAGCACAGGGGATTTCACTGTGTCTTCCCAGAGCGCATAATCTACATAAAACTTTGTTTTGAATGTTTGAATTTCATATATTGCTTTGAATTTCATATATCTTGATTTTTTATTAAAATCTAGCTTTTTTGTCAGTGTTTGTTTCTTCCTTATAAATCTTTCTCTTTGTTTTACAGCCTAATTTTAAAGATTATCCTGTATACTTACTGAAGTTTAAACAATGTCTTTCTAAAGCATTGCACCTCATGAAGACGTATACTGTGAACACACTGCAGACTCTCACAAATCAGTTACTTAAAAGGGTGAGTTAACTGATCTCAACAACTTTATTTTTTGGTTCATTTGTTGTCCATTATCTTTATCTAAAATTAATGCTTTGTAATTCCCCCGGTTTTACTTTTTAATTAAATATGAATATATAGTATAGTTTTATTTATAGGGAAAACTGTTAATGATCATTATAAATCTTATTTTCACATAATATTTAACAGTTTGAGAAGTATCTGGTGATATGTGATAAATAATAAAATGAGCCAGGCATGGTGGTATATGTTTGTAATCTCAGCACTGGGAAGACTGAGGCAGGAGGATCACTCAGTTAGAAACCAGTCTGGGCTAAATAATGGGTTCAAGGCCCGCTGGAACTACATACCAAGATGCTGCCAGCAAAACAAAACAAACAACCCAACCACCACCACAACAAAAAACAAACTTGTGTCACTTAAAACATTTCTGTTGCTGGGCCTGATGGTACATGCCTGTAATCCCAGCACTTAGGAGGCTGAGGCAGGAGGAACCTTGTGAGTTTGAGACCAGCCTGAGCTACAAAGTGAGCTCAAGGCCAGCCTGAACTACACAGTGAGACCCTGTCTCAAAAAAACCCAAAATTCTGTCTTATGAAAATACTGGAAATTTTAATTTATAATTAATAATAATAATAAAATGGTTCAATCTAAGTGATAGATTATTTATTTATTATTTATTATCATTTATTTTTTGTGGTGTTGAGGGCCATTCACATGCTAGAGAAGAACTCTACCTCTGAGTTGCACTCCCATCATACATTTTTTTCTTTACCTTTTTTTGGGTAGTTTTTATATTATTTGTATTTAGCCAACATTATTAGAGCATATCCCCTAAGGTTTTGTATTGAAATAGGAAATATACGGTAGCAAAAAGGAGCTAGCAAGGTCCCTACCCTCATGGACCTTGTATTTGGGAGAAATGATGACTATGGAAGAAACAAAGTATTATAGATTGCAGTAGATGCCAGGCAGAGAGTTAGTAGAGTGTTAGATTAGAAAATAAGGGTAGTGGTTGTTGGGCATATTTCTAAGAAAATAGAACCAAAATGTTTATTTTATTCTTTAAGCTTACTTTCTAAAAAATATGGAATGCCTTCTTGGACTTCTGTTCAAAGCCAGTGATTTTTGGGTTGCATTTTTCTGTTCATGTTGCTGCTGGCTGATGTAACACCAGGCTATATACTTTACTATTTTCAGAATTTTCTGTAACTTTAGGAAACTAATATTTAATCAATAGAGTTATGTACTATGCTAGTACTTTACCACTGAGCTTCACAAAATCTCTGTGAGTGCATGTCATGGTAACTTATGGATCCACTCAGCCTCAGAGAGGGTAAGTAATCCTGCCATTGTCTTCTGCCTGGAAAGTGTCAGTGTAAGTCTGTATTTAGGTCTGTGTTCTGTCAAAGTTTTACATAATATAGGGTAAATTTTAACTATAATAATGGGAGAGAAATGATAGTTCCTCTTAATTATTTGTCATTTGTAGCAATAATACGTAATTTCTCTGAGTTTTTTCTTTCTAAGCTTTGGATTGATATGGAGGCCAAGTCATAGTCAGGTGAAATGGTCAGCATTACATTTTCTGAGTAATTTCCTGTTTGCTAATTATCTTTCTTCCATATCTTCCTCCATGTTCCTTTAGGACCCTTCATCTATACCTAATGTAGACAATTCCTTCACGCTATTTTATGTGAAGTTTCGAGCTGCTGCACCCAAAGTCAGAGTAAGTCTGTTGACATAAGTACGACATTGTTATGAAATTTATGCAGGTGTTCCCTTTTGAAGTACATTGCTTACTCCAGAGAAATGAATGTGAGTGAAAGAGAGATACCCTTTCGCATTCAGCAGGGTATTTTAGAGATGTGTCCTAGGTGCTCAAGTCCCTAGAGCAGGAAACATGCCACTTTCCTGTGATGCTCAGGGAAGGTTTCTAGTTAAAGATGGGTTTAAAAAGCCTAGATTTTTAGCGTACTTGGGAGGGAGGGCTGATATTTTATACAGAGAGAACAACATTATAGTGAAGGTTATAGTAACTTAAAAGAAATGCATTCTGGAAGAACTATGTAATTTACTTACCAAAATATTAGTGGGTGTGATGGGAAAGAACACAGGAAAGATGACAAAGACCATCTCACAAGGAAGAAGTAAAGACAGAGGGAGGAGAATGATTTGGTCACGCTGATCGTTTCATAAATGAAAGTTGCAGGTTATGGTGAAGGGAGGTTAGAGATATGCCTGGAATGCTTTGCAGTGACCCAGGTAAAAATGGGGACTGAATTAAGGCCTTGATAGTATGTTGCATGAGAGTAGAGTATGTGTCTTACTTACTGTATTTAGTAGTGTTTGGTATATAAGGAAATGTGCAGTGTTTTCATCTTGATTTGGTGATTTAAAATGGAGGCAGGGAAGGTGATATATTTTATAACATCTGACATACAAATAATTGGAATTGATATATGCATATTCTTTCTGTTCTTTGTGAAGTTACTAGAAAGAGTGATCTACATTTACAGACTTCTTTTTATTTTTTTGGTACTTTTTTTTTTTTGGTACCGAGGATTGAACTCATGGCCTCATGCTTGCCAGGCAGGCACTTACACTACTGAGCTAAATCCCCAGCCTGATTTATAGACTTCTTTTACTTCCTTGTTTTTGTCTTCAGTCAGGCACTTGGTTTTGCTTTGTTTCAGAAGTAGAAGAAACTTACGTTTATTTATAGAAAGTAACAGACAAATAGTGGATAATTGATGAGATGAGATTTAGATTGTGCCCAATTGATCATTTTTGCTTATTAGCCAAATGCCAGTGATAAGAATTCGATTAGAAAAGAAATGGTATAGGTAAGAGGCTTATTCTGATGGATAGTTATAAAGTGATTATTGTAATTACCAGTGGCTTTCCTGTGCACTGTAGGTAACCAGTTAGTCTATGCGATGGGGTCCTACCTACGTTAGCAATAGAAAACATAGAATGCTTACCTAGCAGTAACCTACTGGAACTATAAGGAGGAATAAAATGGCAAAACTAGACAGAGATTCACTAAAAATTGTGTCAGTGGTAAATGTCTTGTTTGTGGTTGGGAGACCTCAGTTTTAAATGTCAGTTCTTCCCAGTGAGATTTACACTGGCTGTACATTGGGATGTCCTCCAAGCAGAGTTCCCTTGGGATTTCCTTGTACAGGATTTTGAACTTTATTTGATAAATAAGTAAAACTATAGAAATTTTTGAAAAATACAGTGTTGTTGATTCAGTAATTCACTGACAGATTATTGAGATAGAACGTTCTGGAATTTAACATTTAAAGAAATGAATCAAATCAAAGGAGAAGGACTGGTGTTTTCTAGGATATTGGGAAAATTTGCTAAGTATTTGAAAAAAGAGTAAGAAAAGAGTATCATTTCACTTGATAATACTACCAAAGTACATTGTAAGTGAACTAATAAATACAAAATGATAAACAGATCCCCTAAAAAGCTCAAAATATTACTGGAAAAGAAATTAAGAATGTAAACATTAAATTTTTTGGTTGTAAATAGCAAAAACATGGCAAAATTGTAATCTTTTCAAAATAAAATATTTTTAAGAAAGAAAGTATTTTTGATATACTATAAATGCTTATACATCAATGCAAGATGAGCATTCAATATAAAATAACCATGTTCCTCACAGCACATGTGGAAAGTGCGTGCACGTTAAGGTTAGGCTGCTGGGAGAGGGGGCAGATGCTTGTAATCTTAGCCTCAGGCGGCTGGAGCAGGAGGGGCCTGAGTTTGAGGCCATCTTGGGCTGCAGAGCAAGTTCAGAACTGGGCAGACTACATGGTGAGATCTGTTATAAAAGAAACAAAGGGCAGGCATTATTTTGTCTTTTGGAAATACATAAATTATGGCTTATATCAGTTCTTATGTGGATTTGGTGAGATAGGAAATATTGTTTGTTTGTTTGTTTGGTTTTTTACACTTTTTTTTCCTCTTTTTTTCTTTTTATTGGTACTGGGGATCGAACTCACGGCCGCCTGCTTGCAAGGCAGGTGCTTATGCCACTGAGCTAAATCCCCAGCCATAGGAAATAAAATGGCAAAACTAGACAGAGATTCACTAAAAATAGGAAATATTGTTGATGTAAATGATTCCTTTCTAAACTTTTTTTTGATACTAGCTAAAAAGTCTACACAAATAATCTTTCTTTTGAGCCATTGTGTTGGTGCTGTCATAATACCAGCTTAAATAGTAGGAAGTAGGATCTTGAAGAAGGGCACCAGCTTGCCTGGGCTCAGGCAGCTATGATGGAGCAGAGAATCAGACACCCTAGTTTGCCTCTGGACTGTAAGCAGTGTGCTGTGATTCTTTAGAAACAATTTAGATATGTAATTTTAGAACAATGAACAATATGATAATATGTAGCATTTCATATAATGTTTTATTTTTTATTATCATTATTTTTGTTGTTTTTTGAGACAGGGTGTTACTGTGTAGTTGAGGCTGGCCTTGAAATCACGTGTAGCCCAGCTTGGCCTCATACAGTAATCCTCCTGCCTCAGCTTCCTGCGAGTGGGATTTTAGGTGTGCACAACTACGCGTAGCTCACATAATGTTTTAAATAAATTATAATAAGATTCTTTGAATGTTTATTAGGTACCATGGTAAGGCCTCCTGTATATTTTTATCTAATAATGGAAATTATTTAATAGGAAAACATTTTTGAAATATGTTAGTTTTTATTTATTTATTTATTTTTTTTGGCTAAGGTCTCTGTATATAGCCCAGGCTGGATGATTTGAACTTGCATCAGTCCTCCTGCCTTAACCTCCTAGTGCTGGTACTACAGGCAGGTGCTGCTATGCCCGGCTAAATAATGTTTTCAAAGGCAGATCATGAAGCTGGGCATGTAGTATAATTTTTGTTTTGTTGAAGAAGAAAAGTGTGGTAACTGTGGGTCCAGAAACCTGAAAATACATGTACTGAAGTCTTACGTGTAAATACTATGCATTCATGCTGGCCTTTAGCTCACTTCGTAGTTCCAGCTGATCTAGAATTCACAGTGATCCTCCTGTGTCCACCTCCCGAGTGCTGAGATTACAGGCCACCATGCCCTGCTTATATTTACAGTTTTTTAAGTGAGCATGTGATACTGTTACAATAAAAAGTCTAATGAATACATTCGGATTTTTAATGTGCTGTGCTTTTATTTTTCAGACTCTTATTGAACAAATAGAAGAGCGATCTGAAAAGATACCTGAGTGAGTATCCATTTCTTCGATTTCCAGTCTATCTTCTTCTCATAGTGCTGTTTTTCCAAATCTGGTTATTTCTCTGGTGTTTTCTGAGGAGTTGCCTCTAAGCTTGCTCTTTTTTTTCGTTTGTGGTAACAGGGATTGAACCAGAGAGTGCCACACTGTATCCTCTGCCCTTTTCTTTATTTTAGTTTGAGACACAGCTCACTAAATTGCCCAGGCTGACCTCAAATTTATGGTCTCACTGCTTCAGACTCCCGAGCATCTGAGATTCCAGGCATGCACCACCAGGTGTCCAAGCATGTTCTTGTAGCACACACTTTCTTTTCGGGAGCAGGGTCTCAGATTTGACTTAGCAAATTTACTTGCCAGAGTTTTTCCATAGCAGGATTTCCTTCTCACCTGGATAGACATGAGGTCTCTGTCTTAGAAAAGAAACCCTTCTATAAGAGGCAGAGCTTAGGTCATCACTTCACTATGGGTTTTGTTTATTATCGGGTTCTGTCCTAGATCCCCAATCTCCTAAACAAGTGTACGGTGGAGGTTAAATAAAAAGACAAACTGTATGATTTTTTTAGGTCTCCAGGAAGATCAAAACCTTTAATTAAGCTTGAGACTTAGAGGGTAAAGACAAAGGATTCTCTGGGTTAGTCCACTTATATTAGGACCAAGGACAAAGGGCGGAGAAACTGAGGAAAGTGCAGGCAATGAGCAGGACCGTGGGAGTCACTTCAAGGACGTCTCCAAGTAATGAATCAAGTCAGTTCAGTAGCACTGTCTTATCATGAAGACATGCTAGAAGTGAGACTGTAGGAGTAATCTTTGCAGCTGTAGTCTCTACTTTGTTATTTGGGGTTGGAGCCAGAGTGTCTGCAGCTGTGGCCTTATCTTGCCCTTTGAGGTATCTCTGGCCTCACACGCCACTACAGGCCTCAGCCAGGACCATTCATAGAGGTTCACTTACTACGAATCAGCTCCCGTCGCCAGGCAAGGGGCCTAGGCCTAGGACAGACTCACCGATAAACATAGACAGCCAATTAGTAAAATTTAAATCCTGCTCAGAGCCGCTTTGTAGTGGTCTCCAACAATTTATTACTTCTTATTTTTTGTGGTGCTGGGGAATGAACCCAGGGCCTTGTTCATGCAAGGCAAGACCTCTACCACTGAGCTACATCCCCCAGTCCCTGGGTTTTGTTTTATACCTGTTATTTCCAAGCTTTTAATCTGGGCAAATGAGAGGTAACTATTATGATTTTATACGTTTGACCACCTATTCTGGGACTAATGATCAAATTTATTGTACATAGCTGAAATCATAAGTTCTTACCTCCCTCTATTTTTATTTGCCTTGCTATTAGATACCAGCAACTGCTCAGTGATATCCACCAATGTTACCTTTTCCAACGGGAGCTCCTTTTGGGCCCTAGTATTGCCTGTACTGTCGCAGAGTTAACCAGCCAAAATAATAGAGACCATTGTGCCTTGGTAAGTTTTGTACCTATCTTGGTTTAGTCTTAAACCTTTTTCTAAGCTGTGCTGATGCCATACCTGATTTATCCTTCTCTGAAATTCTGTTTTTCCAAATTGGTTATGTCCTTGAGGTCTTTTTATTGTAGAACACAACTTCAGGGAGCAGGGTCTTAGACATGACTTACGGAATTATGTGATTCAGTTTCTGTATCAATGAACTAATTTTTTTTCTAGTTATGACAAATCTAATTTGTTAGTTTTGTTCAACTTTGCAAAGTATTTCTCACTTTATTTTTGAGATACAAAAATTCACATATTTAAATATTCTTTTTTTTTTATTTTTTTATTTTATTTTATTTTTTTTTTATTTAAGGAGAAAAAAGAAAAAAAAACAGTGAAGGGGTACAAGTTATACAGATTTACAGAAGAAAAAAATGTGCAGTAGGAGGTCACTAGTTAATGGATTACATATTGCCATCTTAGAAATAATTGTTCAAGTCACAAAATTTAAGCTTGTAGAGTGGACATTCCAACAATGATACTGCAAACAGTTCTGTTCACTGATCCAATAAAACTCTGTGATATCATTTTCTATCTCATACATTTAAATATACATGCAGTTATATAGTTTAGAGCACTTTCTTTTCCTCTCTTTTGTACTGTGACTATTACACATTTTGGGTTTCATTGCTCCCACAGTTCTTATTGCTTTTTTGGAAGAGAGTAAAACTAAATGTGACATAACAGAACCGAATCGGTCAAGTCTAAAGGGTGGATATAATAGATAACATAAAAACATAATACAAGGTGATCAACAATGGTTACCATAATGCCTCCCGCTATTTCTAATAGAATTGCCTATATCATTAGTTGTAATACAATTGAACAAAACAGTATAGAATAAAACCGACAAAACCAAAACATTGGAGATATTGTAGGTCTTCAAAAGTAGATAAATGTCAACGAGAATGGGCGTTATAATGAATCTCATTATCTTCTCAGCTGATGCCTAAACTTTCGAACCTGATACTATCCAGCAAAACAGAATAGAGGAACCTGAGTCAAAAACAAGATGGTGAGAGTAATACAGGGCTTCAAATCGAGATAATAGAAAGTCATAGTGTGTTACTATATTATATCCTGCTATTTTTTCCCTTTAATTAAACGGATAAAAATAAAAAAGTAAATAATGGAGTGGAGATTGAGAAAAAAAAGAGGGCATAACAGCGAAACAGGGCAAATCAAAACTTAACCATTTAAGCAGAATAGTGTTTCACCACCAGATATTTCCGACCCAAAAGTAGTTACCATATTGACTCTTTCCTTGAAGTCCTTGAGTACAACTTCGTATACTGTAGCATTAAGTATATCAAAACAATGTAAAACCATTTAACAGAATGACAGCATTATAGAGTATTTGGAATCGACTAACAGAAAATGAACAATGGTTTCTGTATAGTCTCCTTGTCTTTACAAGGTTTTTGCTTATACTATCGTACATAATAAAATCCAATAAGATACAACCTGTTTAGACCATTGGAGACAGAAGAACAAAAGCTAGATGAGACTTCAAAACAAGATGGTACTAAATCAGTATTACCTATTAAGATGTCATTTTCTCCAAAATAGCTGTTCCTATCATCCAATCGTCTCTGTCTCATTTCTGTTGAGCTCTGTTTCTGTCAGTAGCTGTCAGTTTGTCTTCTTCATTTTGTTCTCTGCTCCATTCGTTGTAGCCTCCCCGCCACTATTTCTGGGTTCTTTGTATTTTTCTTTTTTTAGAATATCCTGCAATACTTTCTGTAGGGTTGAATTGGTGGTTGCAAATTCCCCCAGTTCCTCTTTATCCTGGAAGCACCTCGTTTTTCCATCAATTTCCAGGGACAGTTGTGCAGGATATCTCAATCTTGGCTGGAGATTATTATCTTTCAAAGCTTGAATTATTTCCCCCCACGCTCTTCGTGATTTGATGGTTTGTGAAGAGAAATCTGCTGTAATTCTGATGGGTGTTCCCTTGTAAGTAGTCTGTTTCTTGTCTCTGACAGCTTTTAATATTCTGTTCTTGTATTGAATTTCTGGAATTTTTATTATTATATGCCTGGGTGTTTCTCTGTTAGGGTTGTAGGTAGCTGGGGTCCTGTATGCCTCATACATCTGAGTATCTTTACCTTTTGCTAAATTAGGAAAATTCTCCTGGATTATTTCTGTGAGTAGCTTTTGTAGTTCACTTGTTTGTGTCCCTACTTCTTCTTTTATGTTCTTAATCCTTAAGTTATGGCTCCTCTTATCATCTTCTTGTCTTTGTATTATTGCTGTTTGTTTCTTTGTCATTTTTAAGAAGTTTTTCATTTCATTCTCCCATATTACAAGTCTGCCCTCCAGTTCAGATAGTCTGTCCTTAGTTTCTTTCAAGCTGTTATGCCAGTCTTCGATAGACTTCTTAATTTCTTGATAGTCCCTTTGAACCTGCTTCACATACTCAATGTTTTCTCTGTTTTCTCCATCAAGCAATTCTCCCCTCTTTTTCTGTTCTTCCATTCCACCATCTGTTTTTTCCTGGGTGGTGCTTAGCATTTCTCTAACTATTCTGCATACTTCTAGCTTCAGGTCGTTGATAACTTCATTCCTGAATTGGTCTATGAGGCTCTCTAGGTGGCGCTTAATGTATATTGGTGCGGTGTCCATTATTGCCTGTTTCTCAGGATTGGGGGCCGAGGAGCCTTTTTTGTTGCTTCCCTTCCCCATATTTTCTCTTCCTTATAAAATGCAAGCTTACAAAGGAAGCCCGGCTTCCCTGCCTGTCAGCCACAGCCTGGTCAAATTGCGCTGGCTAGTTGTTCCCGCCCACCGCTGCGCACCAGGGAGTCGCGGAGGAGGCAGCCTACGCGGGAGTCGGTCGCTCCTCCGGGCCACCGTCAGGCTCTGGGATCTGGGTTAGGCCAGCCTAGGGAGTCCGCCAGCAGCGTCACTCAGGCCAGGGACTTTTCACCAATCCCGTCCGAGAGGGGAATGTGTGGCTGGAGTTGCCACGGCGCCCTGCTCCTACAGGACTGCCCGAGCCCAGAAAAACCTCCGCTGGAGTCAAACTGTGGTAGGGGATCAGTTTTCTCGCTCACCTTGCCACCAGTCAGTTTTCGTGTACGCCTTCTTGTCCGTCCTGTTTTCGACTCCGTTCGCAGACTCCCGTTCCCGAGCTTCTGCGCGTCTCTCCTTGCCGAGCCGCTTGTGGAGGCAGCCAGCCGCCGGGCGGCGGGATACCCAAATCGCGGTTTCCAATGGCGCGTAGTCGAGCCTCCACACCGAGCCTTTTCTGTTCCTATTTTAGCGCCAGGACTATATTTTAAGTTGGTTTCTCTCAGCCCAGTTCGTTCCTGAGTCAGCAGAGCATATCTCTACTGGTTCGTGACTCCTTAGTCCGCATCATTCCTGGCCTGTGAGCCGAGTCTTCCAGAGAGCCTTCGGTAGTTGCTGTTGTCTGTCCGCCATGTTCTCCTCCGGCGGCATATTTAAATATTCTTAAAAGTTGAAATTTCAAAGTTAGTGAGTTTCTGTTGACAATGTAATTTTAGCTTAATTTTTGGTACAGAAGTATTTTTTGTTTAGCGTTGGGTTTTTTTTTGTTAGTTTTTGTTTTTGTGTTTTGGTCTTTTTGAGACAAGGTCTTGCTATGCAGTTCGGGCTGGTCTTCAACTCAGGGTAGCCCAGGCTGGTCTTGAACTCGCAGCTGTCCTCCTGCTTCAGCCTCCTCAGTGCTGAGACTATAGGCATGTGCCAGCATGCTGGCTGTTTAGTGAGGTTTTAATTCAAGCCATAGGAAAAAATATGAGGAGTCTTGTTTTAATACACATTTTCTACTAGAACAGTAATTTGTGATCATTATTAAAAATTTAGAAAACAGTTTCACTAGGGTGAGAAGCTGAAAAAGTAAGTAAGATCCAAAGTGTACAGTTTGTGAAATGGGAAGAAACTGTTCAAAAGGAAAGAGAAACTGGGATGGGGGAAAGGAGAAAAGGAAGGGAAAAGGAAAAGATATATATATATATATATATATATTCTCAATTCACTGAAAAGAAAGGTTTGTGCTTGTATTATTCAATCAATTTTTCATGCCTGTATCTTACAATCTGAGCAACTACTTTGTAAGTTCTTTTTTTTTTTTGGTACTGGGAATCAAACTCAGGACCTCGAGCTTGCCAGACAGGTGCTGTGCCACTGAGCTACATCCCTAGCTCTTGAGCAACTACTTTGAACATAACAATATGCAATGTATTAAGAATTGTTACTCTCCTACTTGAAATTTTGTATCTTTAAAAAAAATTAGAAAAGCGTTAATGTTAATAAAATAAAAGTTATCTATAATTTCAGTAAGCATTAAGCCGTGGGAAACGAAGCATTTTCTATTCTTTGATAAGCTGTTTTATGAATACATGCACGTAATTTCTTTGCAAATAAAGTGTAGGCTTTGTTTTATAAGTATTGTAAATGTTTAACTATAGGTGTGTGTGTGTTTACCACAGGTTCGCAGTGGCTGTGCCTTCATGGTCCACGTGTGCCAGGATGAGCACCAACTTTACAACGAATTTTTTACAAAGCCGACACCAAAATTAGAGTAAGTGGCACGTGGAACCTAAATTTTATTGATAAGATGTAATTTGCTTATGACCATTATGGTGCAGTATGTTATATGCATATTCTGTAGCCAACTACTTTGTTTTAATTTTTCTGCATATGTGAACAAAATGTTATGGGGTAGGATATTAAAGTAGGTATAAGTATAAAGGTCAAAATGCTTTCATGTTGTTTGTGGTATAATGGAGCTATTTTGATATGATAGTGTATAGTAATTATGTTGTAAGTATGTATATGTATGTATATGTATGTATTTAGTAACTCTATATAGAGAATGGTGTCTTGATATCTATAGCTCCAAGTACAATATTTATTTATTTATTTTTTTGTGGTACCGGGTATCAAACTCACAGCCATTCTCTTGCAAGGCAGGCATTTATGCCACTGAGCTAAATACCTAGCCCCTAATGTTACTGTTTAGTTCAAAAATTTTTATGATTTTCACTAAGGAAAGATGGTTAAAAATATGGACACTATTGAATAACCTTTTTTTTTTTCTTGAAGTGTCTTTCAGATGCACTGTTAGTCACTTTTGGCTTCTTCCTATTGGCTATTTTGACTCTTAAAAGATTCTTCTAAATGAGAAAGAGCTAAATATATTATGGTTTTGGTGGGGATGATTACTTTTGATGACTACTCTGTATAGAAGAGTACCATTGGCAATATGAAGAATATAGACAACCTGATTTTCTTTTCTTTTCTTTTTTGTCTTTTTCGAGACAGGGTCTCTCTGTGCAGTTCAGGCTGGCCTTGAGCTCACTTTGTAGCCCAGGCTGGTCTTGAACTTGCAGTGATCCTCCTGCCTCAGCCTCCCAAGTGCTGGGATTGCAAATTTGTTTTTTCTAAGTGTTTAAAGTTTCTCACAACAGTTGGTAAATGTTCAGAGTACTTTCAGTTTTATTTTGAACCTGTTTTTCCTGGGAGAAAAAAATACCAGTTGATTCACAGTGAAGCAGAATATAAAAAGTAGTTAAAAGATAATTTTGTTTTTTAAAGGACATGTACAGAATTATTGCTGAAATACAGAAAGTTGCAGTAGGTTGACTTTTGGTTGGTGGCAGCTAATTTGGATTGATTGCTGCAAATTACTTACAGATTCTGAGCTTTTAAACCAGAACCAGTTTACAGAATTAGTTTTCGCCTTTCACTTCTCATTTTATAATATTTCCAGATACTTACTATTTTTATTGGTTAGAAAAAATCAATGAAGCTTTTAAAGTATTGGAGAATTCTGACACTATCTCTACCATAACCATATTTTATTCTCCCATTTTAGTGAGCTTTTGGAGAAACTGTGTATGTCATTGTATGATGTCTTCAGGCCATTGATCATTCATGTCATTCACTTAGAAACTCTATCTGAACTTTGTGGAATTCTTAAAAATGAAGTCCTTGAAGATCATGTACAGAACAATGGTAAGCACATAGAAATGATCATTTAAAAGGTCTCTTAAATGATACCTGTGACTCAGTGAATTTGAAAAAAAAAAGATACTAATACACTGTTGCACCAAAATATTTAATACTTTTTAATTTTAAAAAGCATTTTAAGTAAAAATTTAATATTTTTGTAGCTTGGGTTAATGTCTTTTTCCTTTTTGAATAAAGGAGCAACTTAGTTTTTGACTAATGGTTCAAATTACTTAAAAAAGAATTTTAAAGTCTGGGCAAAATTAGTAATAAAATAGGTAGTTTTTATTTTTGCATCCAGAATCCAGAGTTAGTTTTGGGTTAAGCATTTCTAGTGGAATGTTATTAAAATGCATAAAATAACTGAATATATTACATACTTTTGATTAAAAATCAGGAATTATTTTAGCATTCTTAATAGTAATGGTAGGTCATTTTTAAAATTACAAATAAAACTAGTTCTCTGGAATAGCTGTGCTTTGCTTGTCTGATCAGTTCTTCACTATTAGGTTCAGTTATAGAAAACATGATTTTCCCAATGATATACTTAGGTCCTTTTAAAAAAATACAAGGGCCAGGGATATAGCTGAGTGGCACAGTGCCTGCCTGGAAAGTGCAAGGTCTTGAGTTCAATTCCTGCTATCAGAAAAATAAAATAGAAAAATACAAGTTGGGTGCGTTCAAGGTAGCATCAGCTTCCCATGATGAATGTAATTATTATGTACTGCAAATATGTACTCATAAAAATTTTTAAAAAATACTTTGAATAATGATTTTTGTGGGCAGAATTTATTGTTTTCATTGGTAGATACTACTATGGGTGTTCTATTCTTCAAACCTATTCATATTATAGTTACTCTATGATGTACATTTCCTCACATATTAACGTTCCTGAATATAAGATAATCTTTAAATTACTATGAATGGCTTATGTTACTATGTAACATCTTCAACCCCTATCCCTTAGAAATTTTCAACCCCTATCCCTTAGAAAGATGTTACTGAATTACCTGTGTGTCTTAACGTCAGTGGCATCTTAGTAAGTACTATAGAAATTCATGTTTCATATTTTACCTTTTTTCTTTGTGAAAATGTTGTCATTTAGTATCTATAGACTTTATTTGTAAAATGGGGTTGATAATTAAGCTGCCTTAATTATTTCTTAGGATTGTCTGAAAGTGTATGAAATAACTTTTAGAGAGCACAGAGCTCTCTTAAAATTTAGATTCAGTATTTATATTAATAGAAACAGTTTTGCACAGTCCTAGGAAGGAGGTATAATAACTAATATATTTTCCAGTTTTAAATTGAAATTGAAAGTGTTTTTTTTCTTTTCTCATACTGAGGATTAAACTCAGGGCTTTACACAAACTCGGCAATTAACTTTATCATTGAACTAATATTCCCAGCCCCTGAGAGACATTTGTTAAACTTAAGATCAGTGAATCATACTGAAATACATGTAGTCACAGTCTCTGAACCAAAGGTGGTTAAAGTAGTATCTTTGCTTGTTTATAAGAAGGTAACTTCACAGCACAGGCCTGGCAAGCGTGAGGTCCTGAGTTCGATTCCTGGTACAAACAAAAAGAAGGTAATTTCCTTCTTTCCTAGAAGATAAAGTCTAAAAGGATGGATGCTTGTATTTTTTTTTATTAGCTGAACAATTAGGGGCATTTGCAGCTGGAGCAAAGCAGATGCTGGAAGATGTGCAAGAGAGGCTTGTGTATCGAACCCATATCTATATTCAGACTGACATCACAGGCTACAAACCGGCTCCTGGTGACCTGGCTTATCCCGATAAGTTAGTCATGATGGAGGTAAGGTCTTCATATTTCATTTCCTCCTGGCCTCTGTACAACTTGTGAGAATATTACACTAGCTTTTTAATTCTTGCTCAAAAAGAATCAAACTTGTCAAAAATCATAGGATATAAAATTTTTTAAAAACGTAGAAGAAAATAATTTGTTGTCTTTCAATTATGGTTTTAAAACATTCTATTCAGTTCTGCTGTGCCAGGAAGTATACATTCTTAAGTTCTAAATTTAGTTAGTGCTGTGACTTCTTTTTTCTTTGTAAATGGCATGGGACAGGACTGAAGCTGGTGTGGCGGCACACACCTGTGATCCCAGCAGCACTCTGGGAGAGACTGAAGTAGGAGACCTATAATTTTGAGCTTAGTCAATTTAGTGACTTGGCGGGATCCTGCCTCAAAGTAGAAAAGGGCTTGGGATATAGACCTGTGTAAAGGTTTTGGGTTTACTCCCTAGTCCTGTCCCCCCCCCCCCAAAAAAAAAAAAAAGAAAGAGAAGAAAAGCGGTGGGTTGGTGGTGGTGACGTATAACTGTGTCGTGCCGTCTTAGAAGCCTGGAGGCGCTCTTCTCGAAGTTACACGGTCCTGACGTGCGGCTTCTGGTTGGAAGGGTCATGGAATCTCATTGATGGTTCAGTTCCATGCCTAACTTCATTTTCTTTGAATTTTGGCGAGAGGTTAAAGAATTCCTGGTATGTCAGAACATACAACTTTTTTTGAAATGGGGTCTTACTGTGTTTCCCAGGCTAGCCTTGAACTCAGGATTCTGTCTTGGATTCCTAAGTAGCAGAAATTACAGGTGTGTACCACCATGCCCAGCTTTAGAGCCTAGCTTTTCTATGGAGATTTTCAAATATAAGCAAAGATTTAGTATAATGAATACTTACATATAGTTACTTCAGCCTCAACATGACAAGTTTTGTTTACCTACACCTGCTTACTCTTCTCCCATTCATTATTTTAGAGCAAGTTTCAAACATTAAAATCTGTAACTACTTTAATAGGTAACTCTAAAAGGTAAGGGTATTTTTATTTTTAACATAACCATCCTTATCATACTTAAAACACTGTAGTTCCGTAATATCGTCACATAGCCAGTTGAACCTGTTGCTTTCAGATTCACTGGTGTTAATGTTTTGTCACATTGTTTTATCTCTTCATGTTTATTTTGTTGTTGAATCAGTTGATAGTAAGTTGAAAACATTTCGATACTTCACTTTAATGTATTTTAGTTCTTACTCTAAGAATAAATTTTCCACATAGCCAAGGTATCATTTTTATACCTAGTAATTTTTTTTTTTTTTGAGACAAGAGTCTCACTATGTAGCACAGGCTGGCCTCACACTCATAGTGATCTTCCTGCCTCAGCCTCCTGAGTGCTGATTACACCTAATAAAATTAACATCTATTCAACAATATTATTTAGACACAGTGCTATTCAAATTTCCCCAGTTGTCCATCAGATGTCTTTTAAATTGCACCAAAAACTTCTAAAAGTTTAATGCAATTAAGTTTACTGTGTTACATTTAATTTTTATGTCTCTTTAATCTTTGAGTCTGACTAAGATTCCTTCCTCCCTGTCTCCACTTTGTTTTTTCTTTTTATAACACTGACTTTTTTGAAGAGACCAGGCGAACTTTATTGTGAAATGTTGCGACATTATAGACTTGATTGTTTCCTCTCGATGAGATTCAGGTTAATGTGTGTGTGTGTGTGTGTGTGTGTGTGTGTGTGTGTGTGTGTGTGTAATACTAGCTAGTTGATGTATACTTCTGACTTAATTACCTCAAAAGCACGTAATGTCAGGTGGTTCCACAGATGGTTAAGGTGGTGAACATAAAAGTATATTTTTCCCCTTTGTAACGAGTAAGTCCTTAAATGGGATTATGTTTTGATTTTGTATGAATTTCGCAGCATCTTTTCAGCCAGTTCTTATTGCCAAATACTGCTGAAAAACCACACTTTAATGTTCCTTCTGATTTTCTATGCAGCAAATTGCGCAGAGTTTAAAAGATGACCAGAAGAAGGTACCTTCAGAAGCTTCGTTTTCAGATGTTCGGTTAGAAGAAGCAGAGTCTAACAGTCTGTCGAAATCTGGTATGTGCTGAGGTCTTCACTTGTAGCACTTACTGTTCAGTTCCTGTCTTACTAGGGACTTGTGTCCGAGGTATGAGAACAGCTTCTGCCTTGAGGAGCCCACCCCTGAGGCGTGATTGATGAACCTCAGATGCGATTCAGTGGTGGGTGAGCTGCAGACAGGAACCATGGGGTGCTCTTGGACCGTGGCAGATCTCCTAGTGCGTGGACATGGTGGAGGGGTTGCTCCCTGAGTGTGGGGGAGTGGGGTTCATGAGGGATGGCACCTGGAGAGCTGGAGTGCGGAGGAGTGAGAGTCAGATGAAGCCGGATTGCTTGAGGTCTAGAAGAGCAGGTAGGAAGGACATGGGAATGGAAGAGCATAGTTGCTTTGGGATTCGCTGTGGTTTTGTGTGTTTGGGTACAGGCAGGGTGTACGAGGGGCAGCCCAGATGACAGTCAGTGTCATTTTATGATGTCATAGCTTTTGAACTTTTAGCTAGTATATTGAATCAGAGTGATTATGCCATCGAATTTGGATTTTATAAATGTAAGGTTGGGTGAAGCTAAAACATTTTGGCAGATACAAAGGATAGCTTTGACTTTTCAAGGAACAACATTGTTCAAGAATCACTCATGGAGGCGGGGCATGTGGTATACATCTGTAATCCCAGCACACTCGAGGCTGAGGCAGGAGGATTGCTGTGAGTTTGAGGCCAGCCCGGACTACATAGAGAGTTCAGGGCCAGCCTTAACTACAAAGTAAGACTCTGTCTCAACAAAAAAGAAGAACAAAATATCATGGGTGACCTAGATAAAATGGTAGGTGAGGCATCTCTCTTTCTCCAGCGTAAGGTGAGAGATACTACAGCTCATCTCCTCATGGGACTGGTTGTACCTCCGTGAGCTTTAAAGAGCCCCAACTTCCCCCAAGTCCTTGGATTTATAGCACAGTTGGGTAATCTGAGTCAACTGTCGATAAACATCAGGTACCCAAATCCAGACTGCCAAGTAGTCATCTGACAGAATCATTTTGTCATTTTGTGTCCCTGTGGGAGGGAGACCCACGATGGGATCAGATTCCCTCCTCTAAAGTAGAACCCTTGTCCTGTCCTAGTACATTTGGTCCTAGCAAACCTCTTCAAGAGTTCATGGACAGGTGAGAGAATGCCCTGGTCTTACTGACCCTGACCTTGTGTGTTTTCTCTTACTCCACTAACGCCTGTTCTTAACTCTTGCTGAGCATTGTCGTGAGGAAGAGTTGAGTGAGTTGGAAAGTTTGGTTAGGAGACTGTTGTGTTTTTCCTTTTGAAAGGTACAGGGAGTGTGAACCAGGATGTTGAGAGGGTGAAGCATGGAGATGAGGCTTGGGGTTAGAAATTTGGGTCAGCAGGATTTGGCGACACACTGAATGTGAGTGCCTAGAACAGTGCGTAAGGTCAGTGTGGGACAACTGAGAGGAGCTGTCTTGAATGGACTTAGAGCTGTGCTGTCCAGGGTGGTAGCCACCTGCAGCTGAACGTGTGAAATAGGGCTGGTTTGTCTGAATGTGTATAGGTGTGTAAAACATTCCGTAAGTGTGAAGCACACACCAGAGTTTAAAGACTTGGTATAAAACAAAGAAGAGAAAGTATTCTATTAGTCACTTCTCTGTTGGTTATATTTTCCCTGGTTCTGAGGTATTTTGGAGTGAAAGAATGAGAGAGCCCTTTAAAAGGCGGGCTTTAAGTGATGTGGTGTAGAATGAAGTGTCACCGGTGGAGGAGCCATTTTATGAAGGGACCAAGTATCAGGCTCTTGAAAAAGCAGAGGTGTTGGCTTTCCTTGTTTGTGGAGAGGCAGGGAGGGTTCTGCGGCTTGGAAGAAACCTGCCGCTGTTCTTCAAGGGGTTGTGGGAGATGCCTGGAGTTTGATGGTTTGCAGTGGAAGTAAACTTTCCCCTGTTAGCAGTTAACTGAGCAGTGAAAAAATGAATGAATAATGACTGCTGGCTTCAAAACTTTCAAGCATTTTTTCACTAAATGTTGGGAGTGCTTTTGGCCTTTATTTCCAAAGGAGACGTTCTGCAGGTAGCAAAATTTTTAGCAAAACTGTAGGGTCTTAGGAGAAATGTTCTTTGATATAATTTGTTTTGTGTTTTCTTCTTTAAAGGGACTTTAGAGAGTAGAGCTTAAAGTGAGATTTTATGGGAGAGATTTAAAAATTATTCAAATATTGGTTGCTTTTGGTAAAATAGCTCATAAAACTCTTAAAGTGCTAACTTACAACATTTTCCTCATTTCTTTCTTATATCTGATACATGACCTCTAAGCCTTTTTTTATTTTAAAGAGAATAAAATCAAGCCAAATAAAAGAAAGCCAATCAAAACAAAGCAGTGTGCATGATAAAGGGTCAAAACAAGACAGTAGGAAATCAACAATGGCTACCATAATGCCCTTGTTGACTTCAAAATAGTTGCCCATAACCTTCAGACACAGTAAAATCAAACAGCACAGAAACAATAAAAACAAAACTATGAATACAAGACTTCAAAATAAGATAAAATAGTAAATCCAAAATCCTACCATAATGTATCTTGTTATCTTTGAAATAACTGCTTATGCCATCAGATAAAATCAAATAAGACTAAAGAGAATAAAAGCAAACCAAACAATGAAAATGATAGTGGACTTTAAAACAAGATAACAAAATTAACAGTGGCTGCCACCTCCTGAAGGAGACCCCTATGCATGCCATGCTGTGTGCTGGTACCTTCTGAATACATGAGCAGGCTATCAGCTTTTGGTCTGCACAGTCACCGAAACACTGCATACTACAAGCATTAGGTTGTGTTTCACCTCAGGAGCTGTCATCCCAGCCTGTGTTTTTCTAGGTCAGCCAGCCACTTACAGGGGTAGGTTGGGAGGCCTTGGTGCTCCTGTCTGCTAGCCTGTGGGCCAGCAGGGCTGGCATCCGGTGCCCCTCCCTGTGGCCTGCACATGACGCGACTCATAGGAAGTGGCTGGCTGCTTGTTCTCCTCCCCATGGCCCCTTCAAGCCTTCTTTTAAGCATACAAATCTAAAACTTGCTTTTTTTTTTTTTAAAAAGGAGCTGTTTGTTTTATATTTTACTACTAGAATATCATGGATAAATTTTAGATTTTTATTATTGAAACATTTCAAATGTATAGACAAATGAAAAGGCTAAAAAGAAAAACGAACGCCCATGCCTAACTATGTGGATTCCAGACCTTAGTATTTTATCATATTACACATACAATACCTCATTGCTGGGACTAAATACCTACCTGTCACCTACAACCTACAGGAGGAGGGGTTTACTTTGGCTCATATTTTCTGTCCGTGGTCTGTTGGCTGCAAGGCAGAGACTTGGTGGAAGGGTGGGGACTGCTGCCTATCCCATGGCCTCCAGGAAGCAGAGCACACACCTGTGTCACTCTCTTCTGCCCGGGTTGTACTTTGTAACAGCACATTCACCTGCTGTACCTACAGTGCCCACGCAACCTGTTCACCTTACCATATACATAAGACTTCTGGGGGGACATTCTGGATCTAAACTGAAACACACATTTTGTTTTGGTACCAGGGATCAAACTCATGACCTTGTGTTTGCCAGGCAGGTGCTTGTGCCTGAAGCTAAGTCCCCGGCCCCACACACACTTTTTTAAACCAATCATTTTTAAAACTAGTTTAGCATCTTTCCAAAAATGACATCTTCCATAACCATAAATTCCTACTGCACTAGAAGTTTAACAGAATTTCTTAATATTCTCTGAAAATCCATATTTCAGTTTTATTTCTTCTACCAGAGATTTATACCAGCTCCATTTTTGTGGTTAACTTGTCATCTGGTCTTGAGTGATTGTCCTTCCCTTGCAAAGGTGGCTGCTCAGCAGGGCTCCTTACCTGCTGTTCCTCTGTTTACCAGAGGCTTGCCTTTTGACTACTGTTGGGTTGGGGCAGCCAGCCCTCCGCACTTGTGAATTGAATATAGCAAGAAAGCCTGTAAGCGTGGAGGGTGGGCTGACCGGCAAGCCAGCTGTGGTTGCTCTTCCCATTGACAGTGACTGTGTTTTGTTGTCCTCCCTTTCTCCACCGGCTCCCGTTTACTTTCATCTGACTACATAGTGCTCTGCTGCCTTGAATCTATAATATGAGAATGCTATTCATTTCATAAAGATTGTTGATTCTAGTTTGGAGAGAGCAGTTTGGGTTGAGCATTTGCTCAAGGCTGGAATGTACATGTGTTCTCCTTGTGTTAAATCTCACCCTAGCTTTCTAACGGCACTCTTTTTTTTTTTTTGATACGGGTCTTGCTATGCAGTTCAGGCTGGCCTTCAGTTCACTTTGTAGCCCAGGCTGGTCTCGAACTTGCAACGATCCTCCCATCTCAGCCTCCCGAGTGCTGGGATTACAGGCATGAACCACCAAGCCCAGCTTTCTAACGGTACTCTTGATTAAAGATGAGACTAGAAAAAAATTGGTGTCCTATTTATAGTTAATGAGAAAATATGGTTTATAGCTGCCATCTAATTTATTGTAAAATGAATATCCACATGCCTGAAGTATGCGTCTTTTTTATTTGGGTTTTAGGTTCAACCGAATCCCTCAATCCTAGACCACAGACCACAATTTCTCCAGCAGATCTTCATGGAATGTGGTACCCTACAGTTCGAAGGACTCTTGTCTGTCTCTCCAAATTATACAGATGCATAGATGTATGTGTAAATTCTTACTGTTTACTCTTCAACTTGGAATCTTTTTCAAGTTTAACTTATTTTAGGATCTTGATACAGTACTTTGCTCGATATTCTTAGAATCATGGCTTTTAGAAATGGAGATAACTTGAAAGTCAAGCTTCTTAAGGATTACCAAACTGAGCATTCAGTAGACTCCATTAAGGGGCTTGGGTGGGTGTCTGAACACTTAGAAATCGTGGTACATTCTGTATATATTTTGTGCTGTGCCTTTCAAAGGAGAAGGACTTCAGTTTTCATTGCTTTTCAGTTGGTTAATTTGTGTGCCTCAGTTTATAGAGAAGAGATGCATAAAGGTGAAGGGCCACATAAGTATAATTTACATTCAGTATTAAATTCTGTAATCTAGTTTTGCACCTAATTTAAATCAGCATCCTCAACAAACAGTGTTAAGATAACATGTGTTTCTAGTCATGGAGTAAGTTTGGCTGTTTTCTGAAGTTAGCAGTAGCTTTTTTCAGGAACAGTGTTGACTGCATTGATCTCAGGGAACAGTTACTTTAGGCACTCTGGTTTGGTGATACAGTTGTCATTCCCCTGTAATAGCAGCACATTTGTCTACAGATTTAATGTCTCTGGTTTGATTCCAAACCAAGATGGTTATAAAATTTGATCAGTTTAATTCCATCTTTTTGATTGCGGCAATTCCAGCTGCACAGAGGAGATACAGAGAGAAATGATTTAAGTACAGCAGTCATATAATGACTTGCCCAAATACTACCATTTTTTAAGGATATAATTCAAAAGGAGTATGAATGCTCTGGTACTCCATACTGATTTCCATACTGCAGGGTCCTGAGTCCCCCGAAAATTACGTTGTTTCATGGTATCAGTCCAACCCACACTATTCTAACTTAAAACTGCATGGTTCATGGTCTCTCTTTGAGAAGGAAATTTGAGCATTTGGCATTTCTTCCCTGCCAGGTTCCCCATTGGGTGTATTAAATAATATCATCCTAGAATTCCGAAATGTCCTGCGGTAGAGCCAGCATGTCGTACTTCCGGGATGATGCAGAAGGCCAGAATTAGGATTCATACTTTGTGTATACCATTTTTTCTATTGGTTATATTTTCTGTTAATTTACAATATATAACTTCTTATAAGTTCACTATCTCCTTCAGCATTCCTTATATTCATGCACAGTATTTTATAATTTAATAGTATTTTGTCAACTCCCTGTCATTGAATATTTGTTATTTCATTTTTTTTTCTATTTTAAATAATACTTTAATGAAGAGCCATATACACGAACCTTAAAGTGTCTTTATAAATACTGATTAATTACCTGGGTTAAATTTTTATAAAAAGATTTACTGAGGGCTTTACAGTTAGTTTTAGAGCTTTCTTTCTTTCTTTATTTATTTTGAAGTCCTAAAAGTGTTAAGAGTTTGGAAACACAGCCCTACAACATGAAATGAGGCTGGCGTGAGGGCTCTGTGAGATCAGAGCCCTGTGTGCCTCTTGGCCCCTGTATTTCCCAGTGTCTAACGCAGTGTCTAACACAGCATGCCGCAGTGCTGGTATGCATGCACTAGAGGGGCACACGGGGGTCTGCACAAACGATTGTGCCTTGTGTTGCTTTAGAAAGATTGGAGGGGAGTGAAAAACTCTAGGGGGATGGTGCAGTAATGCTTAATCTTGTGATTAAGCCCAGTAAACAGCTTCACTTAGCCTGGGGTTTGTTTTTTTGGTGTGCTACAGGTTGATGTTTCTCTTTTATTTCACCAGAGGGCGGTGTTCCAAGGATTATCTCAGGAAGCATTGTCAGCCTGCATTCAGTCCTTACTTGGAGCATCAGAGTCTATCACCAAAAACAAGGTTTGATGAAGTGTTAGATGAAATTTCATTACCTATAATAATATTGTACAATATAGAATAATTTATAGGTATAGAAGTGTAAAGCCATCTTGATAGTAAGATTTATTTCTGATTATATTTTGAGGCCCTTTGAGAGAAGCTCATATTTCATTATAGTCTTTAATAGAGATTGTACTATATAAGAAAGGCACATTACTAAAATACAAAAAATACATTTTACAGAAGTACAGTTCTTTGTCATTGCCTTATTGACAGAGAAATGATACTGCTCTTTCCTGGAATCCAAGAAAGCATTTTCAAGGAAACACAGCTATTTAATCATCTCTGCAAGGTTGTTTTAAGTAGTTTCATGGCCTCATCTGGATTAACTCAGTCCATCTATTTTGAAAAGAGACAGCTGTGACCCTTGGATTGTATGACTGGAAATAATTGCCATGACTGCATGTTTAAGATTTTCAGTCAGCATGGACCTGGGGGAGGCTGTTGGTATGACCTTCCCCCATGTCCTACGATTCTTTTTAATTGAGCATGGTCAGTAGTGTTGCTTAGCTTAATTCCCACTTAAAAGCCTGTTACCTGCAGGAACTTTGCTGTAGAAGATATTCACCCCAAATTTTTTCCTGCTTGAAGTGTTCAAAGTTTGTGACTTCTGGATTTGTAAAGTTGATTTCTAACTTAAAGGCTTTAGATACATTTTAAAAAATTCTTTCCATAAAAGAATTTAGCATCTTGTTTCCAGAAAAACTCTACCTTTGTGACCACTGTCTTCTCCCATTAATAGAATAGAGGTTGAAATTTCGGTATAAAGACTAGAAGATGATAGAAAATAAAGTTATGTTACATGCTTTAAGTTTTAAATATATTGGCAAGCCAGTCTTCTCACATTTATTATAATGGGTGAAATTAAGAAGTGTGCCTAACATTAGGGAAATGATAAATAGGACATATTCTGTATGGTATTTATTACATTATAAAAGATGGAACAATAAAATTTAACTGATAAGGCAAAAAAGGATATAAGATACATAGTATGACATGTAATAAAAAATGCATTGGAGCAAATACAGAACTATGAAAGCTTTGGGTGACTTTTGCCCATTTCCTATACATTATTTTTAAGATTTTTGACAGTGAAGAGAGTGACTTAATTTGAAAATTTCATATGCCTATGTCCATTGTCCTCTCTTAAACCTTTTGATTATTCAGTCTTGATTATCTGTAGGCCTTCTCTTTAATTTTATTTCATACATATTATAAGGGGTGTGAGTATACTAGCTTATTTAGTTTCATGACTGAGTTTATGTACTTTTGCCTTTCAACTTTTAAAAAGTGATAATAAAAAAAGGACTAATAAAAAAAGAGACTAATGAAAATGGCTTAATGTCCTAAAGTGTCTTTCTAGTTTAAGGAAAGAAATTATTCTGACATAGTTAGATTGAGTAGCTGGTCTTCCACTATATTAGCATAATATAATCTGCTGGGTTACAACAGCTTTAATAAAATCTATATGATGCTATTTTTGACATCAGAGTTGTTAGTTCTTTTAAAAATAAACACTAAGATACATGTAGTATTTTGTACTGTCTTGATATTCTATTCCAGAGTGCACAGCTGAATTTTCATTGTAAAAATCTTAACTTATATTGATTGTATTTAGTAGAAGTGAGGGGAGAGAGAGACTAGGGAGTGGTCCTTTGTTTAATAACCCTGTTCTAGTCGCTTGTGTTGGTTGCTTTTTTTCTTATTGTTGAGACAAAATACCTAGCACCCAAAATTAAGGAAGGAAAGGTTTATTTAGCTCACAGTTTGCGGAAGTTTCAGTCCATGAGGAACTGGCTCCAAGGCAGGATGGCACAACATAGGGGCAAGTGCAAAAAGGGAGGAGAGCCAAGCAAGCCTCTTTCCTTCCCTTACATTGTATGCAGACGAGTGTAACACTCACACTCCTAATTCTAGTATTGAACCATGAACCAGTCACAAACTCTAGAAGCCTGCCTCATGACTACATGAGGCTGTGGGGGACATCCAGACACAAAAATTATATTGTGAATTGAAGAGTGCCTATTATCTTCTAATGTAATATAAAAAAATTCATTGGCAGTATTCTCAAAATAAGATTAAATCTTGAGTAGCAGCATGAAGGAGTGAATAACAGCCTTGCATTTGTAAGTGTACAGACTCCTGTAGAAACTATGACCACTTAGTTAGATCAGGTTGGCTTTGAGAACTAAGCTTCAGTCACATGTCTTTTGTAGATGGTAGGTTCCAAGAGGGCAAAAGGACATGCTGGACTTGGGTGCAGTAGTTTATCTATTTATAATCCGAAATGGCGACCTTCCACCATACCATTTGGAGGCTTTTTTGTACTTTTGTGTAAATAGAGGAATCTTGTCTGATGTTCTGGTTGTTGAAACCACTTTGATCAAATAGTGAAGGCTGTCTTTCTGAAGAGAAAGTAACAGGCCATGACAGGACAAAATTATGTTCATATTTGGAGATTTTGTGTACCTTCTCCTCTGTATTGTTAGATTGCAGCATCTTTTATACTTCTGCAACAAATTAAAATAGGTTTGACTTGTCTTCCTAGAGCCTTTTTATCTGATGTACTTTTTGGATTTTCTAAGTAGAGCAGGTAATAGTTAAGCAAGATTTTTCCTCTAGATAATTCTAAGATGGGTGATTTGGGGAGAGTTCAGCAAGAATATTGGCATCCTAAATCTTGTAAATTTAGGTAGATTAATGTTGATTAATAGTATGTGTTTTAGATACTTCTGTTTTGATTTAATCTGTGATAATACCATTTTTTCTGTTTTATAATTTAGACTCAGATTGATGGGCAGCTTTTCTTAATTAAGCACCTTTTGATTCTTCGTGAACAAATTGCTCCATTTCACACTGAATTCACCATTAAGGAAATTTCCCTGGACCTCAAGAAAACTAGAGGTACTTTGTTGTCCTGGCTGGCACAGTTGGGTTTGTTTGACCTGTCCAAGTGTGTCAGCACAGGTTGTAGGTTTATTTTATGTTCATCTGCAATTGTTTTTGCATGCTTTGCTTACTAAGTATGTTACTTGTTCCTACTAAGCTGAGCTGTCAGTACACTAATTTCTTCTAACTTTGCTGAATTTTCTTTAAGAAAATAACTGTATTGTTGTTATTTTTGAGAAAAGGTCTCACTATATAGTTTAGAATGGCCTTGAACTCACCATGTAGCCCAGGTTGGCCTTGTACTCCTGTCGATTGTCCTGCCTTAGCTTTCTGACTGCTGGGGAAGAGAATTGTACTATATCTGAGCATTTTAATTTGTAATATAGTATTAATTCTGTTAGAGTCTACTGCGTCACTGTAACCAGTTAGAAAATGAAAAATCAATCTAATAGCTAGTTAGTACTAAGTAGTGTATGCCAGCTAAATGTTACGATTTTAAATACTGAGTTGAATTTGTCAATTTATGAAATTTGGGAAGCCAGAGTAAAAATGGGAGAAGTACTTACTTAAGATCTGAGAGTTGGGTTTTGTTTCTGTCTCAATTTCCTGACTCTTGTAAGGTTTTTAATGGGTGTGTCAGCTTTTCTGTTGAACCTTTCTCTTAGATAAACTATTGAACTATTGAACTTGTTGGAACACTTTCATGAGTTATCAAGATTATCAGGAATGAAAATACATGTTAAGATTTTTTATAAGTTTCAGTTGCTTAAGTTAGTTTAAGTTTGTTAATGTTAAATCATCTGGTTAATGAATCATGTAGATAGAGTCTTTGAATTATTAATAAATACTGATTTTGGGAAAAATTACTTAGCAATTGTAATGATTTGTCTGAGTTAATAAGAGATTGTTTTTATTTTTTACTTTTGGTATCAGGAATCAAATTCATGACCTCCCACTTGCCAGGGAGGTGCTGCCTACTGAGCTGTATCTTTGGCACTGAGATTGTCTTTAAAAGATTAATTACTTTTTTAAGCTGTTGATCATAAGGATGTATGTAAACATCACTTATTTGCCTTAATCACTTAAAATTTTTGTAAACTTTTTCTCTGATTACTTCCAACAGATTCAAACTCTTATGCCTTAAGCTATCTGCTGATGAAGTTCATAAGAATGAACTTCTCTTTTATTTATTGGGGTAACTGAGGAAAATCGTTGAAATTATTTTCTGTGTTCTATGATTCACAATAGTGCCAAATACAGAATATCCAAATGCAGAATACAGAATTTCCAAAGTTCCCTTGCCACTGTGCTTATTTGTAAGAATGGGCTTCTTGGGGCTGGGGATTTAGCTTAGCAGCATAAGCACCTGCCTTGCAAGCAGGCGGTCGTAAGTTCGATCTCCAGTACCAATAAAAAGGAAAAAGACAAGAAAAAAAAAAAAAAAAGAATGGGCTTCTTTGATGAGCTGAGACTCAGGTGGCCTTCTGAGAGTCATATTAAACAGTTCAAATGCTCTCTCCTGTTTTAAAAAATACTTTCTGAATTTTTAAAGCCTGTGTGTATTATTCATATACTTTGTTATTTTTTTTTTAAACAGAAGCCAGGTTCCCTACTTTTTGCCTTTGTAGAATGCTTGCTTTCTTTTTCTTTTTTGGATGGTACTGAGGGTTAAACCCAGAGCCTTTGCACTGAGCTACATTCCCTGCCCTTTTTATTTTTGTTATGAAGCGGGATCTAAGTAAGTTGCCAAGGCTGGCCTTAAACTTGTGATTCCTGGCTTCAGCCCCCTGAGGTGATGAAGAAAGCATAATTTTTAAAGAGCATAATCTCATCAGAGTTGCTGTCTCCTGTGATTTTTCTCCTTTCTTTCAGTATGAGGTATAGGAACAGTGCTCTGTCTTGTTCTGGACTGCAGATAGACCTTCATCTAAGTGATGGGATAGGGCAGGGTGGATTTACTTTCATTTTTTCTAATTCATAAATTATTGCTGTTTAGTTCTATTGTAGATGCACTGAGATGTGAATAAATGAAAAAATGAAATAGCATAAGATTTTGGCAAAATTTGTTTTATAGTATATTTTCTCCAAAATATTATGAAACTGTGTAACCCTTCCAGATGGTGATCTATGTTTTTTATTGCAAACAGAATCTTTCAGGTGTTTCATAAAAAATAATATAGCACACACAAAGAGTTTCACTAGAGCTTTACTTTGAACAGTGAATTTGATAGAGAGGTTCTTTCTCATTAACACCAGGGCTAAAGTGGCATTATTGTAGCATGTGCTTGCAAAATTAGGGATGAAAACCTTTCACTCTTTGCTTTCTTTATTCTGACAAAGCAAAGCAAAGAAATAATCTTTTTAAACTCTCACTTAATACTTGCTATTCCCACTTTTAAACCTTTTAACCTCTTACAGCTAACATTTTATCTTATTGCATTTGAACATCAATGAAACCTCAGTCCTTTGCATAGATTCTAGTTAGTCTGGAGGTTAAGGGATAAATATGTCCTCTTGGTGTTTTCTTCCTGGCTGACACATTAGTTTATTCACTCTGCTTTAAGTGAATAAATTTTTATTCCAGCTAGGATCTTAAAGAAGCTTGGTAAGTATGTAAATATTTTCTTGAAATCTGCTTAATATCCTAAAAGTAAAGTAATGAAATTTTACAGCGTTGAAGTTTTCATTAAATTTCTTTCTTTCTTTTTTTTTTTTTTTTGGTAAGTGGATTGTTGAGATTAGTAGTTATTTTGCAGTTCTGATCTCTGGAAAGTAGCTGCCGCAGCCATCATTGGCAGGCGTCTCCCCCTGAGCTGTTCAGGAAGTTGAGCTGGTAGAGATGCATGCCTTGTGGCCTGGTGGGATAGAGAACTAGTGTTTGTTACAGGAGACTTCTCTGTTCAAACTGTACATGTTCACTGCATGAATAATTTTGTTTCACAGATGCAGCATTTAAAATCCTGAACCCCATGACTGTTCCAAGATTTTTTAGGCTGAATAGCAACAATGCCTTGATAGAGTTCTTGTTGGAGGTGAGAGGAGTCTGTTTCATGGTGGTGGGAACTAAATGGTATTCTTTACATGTCTGGTAATTTCTAGGCACATAAAAACAGGAGGAAATTGTCATCTTCTCTTTAAGGGTACTCCTGAGATAAGAGAACATTATCTTGACTCTAAAAAAGACGTAGACCGGCATCTGAAATCAGCCTGTGAACAGTTTATTCAGCAGCAGAGCAAGCTGTTTGTAGAGCACCTGGAGGAGTTCATGACAAAGGTATAGACCAAGATGCCTGTTTGGTAGAGTCGTTTTGCATTCTTCACTGGTTTTGCTTTTGAATAACCTTCTAGTGAAAACTTGAGCAGAAGGAGATAGTAAGCCAAATCTTAATGACTTGGAGAAATAACTGAAGTTTCCTATCATAGAAGTGTTTGTTTTGCTGATGTTTAGATATGCTTGCAGTTTTTGGTTTTGAAGAGGAAGAGTACAAATACTGCAGTTATACTTGACTTCCAGTCAGCTGTGTTTTATTTTAATTTTTTTTTATTTAAGGAGAAAAAGAAAGAAAAAAGGGTACCAGTTATACAGAATTTCAGAAAAAATAAACAATAGGAAATCAGTAGTTAATAGATTACATATTGTTATCTTAGAAATATTTGTTCAAGTTACAAAACTAAAGCATATAAAGTGGACTTTCAAACAGTGAGACTGGAAACAGTTTTGTTCAATGATCCAACAAAACTCAGTAATATGGTTATCTATCTTATACACTTAAATATATATGCAGTTATATTCTTTAGAGCACTTTCTTTTCCTTTCTTTTGTACAATGACTATTACACATTTTGGGTTTTATTACTCCCACAGTTCTTATTACTTTTTTTTGAAGAGAGTAAAGCCAAATGTGATATAACAGAACAGAGTCAGTCAAATCAAAAGGATGGACATAATAGATAATGTAAAAACAAAATACAAGGTGATCAACAATGGTTACAATACTGCCTCTTGCTATCTTAAAAAGAATTGCCTATATCATCAGTTATAATAAAATTGAACAAAACAGTAAAGAATAAAATCAAAACATTGGAGACATTACAGGACTTTAAAAGAAGATAATAGTCAACCGGAATGGGTGTCATAATGAATCTAACTGTCTTTAGAGTTGTTGCCTATACTTTCGAACTTGGTACTATCAAGCAAAGCAGAATAGGGGAAAATCAGTCAAAGCAAGATGGTGAGGGCTATACAGGGTTTCAAATCGAGTTAATAGGAAATCAAAGTGGGTTACTGTAATGTATCCTATTTTTTTTATTTTTCCCTTAATTAAAAAGATAAAAATAAAAAAGTAGATAATTAAAAAAAGAGACTGAGATAAAAGAAGGCGTAACAACAAAACAGCACAGGTCAAAGCATAACCGTTTAAGCAAAATGGTGTTTCACCACAAGCTATCCTGACATAAAAGCAGTCACCGTAGTTGGTTAGCTGTGTTTTATGTCTGTGTTGTGAGTTCCTGCACGTGGGCTGGGTGCCTCACTCACTGCCGCCTCGAATCTCACTTTCTCCTGGAGCAGCACAGTATCAGCCATTCTCATGTATCAGGAAGCCGACTGTCTCTGTGTGGGGACGTGTTTAGGGTATTAGGAGATGGGTTTGGAGCCTGAAAATGTAGATGTGGTTCTGATTCCCTTTCACTTGCTCTTTACTGGTCCTTTGTTTACCTGTCGCCTTTCTGGGCTCCCTGTGGAAGTGATTCGTTTTCCTTAATTCTTACTGTGTTCCTTCTCCCAGAAAAATGCATCTTCATTTCGCAGATTGAGAAATGCAAGTTTTGCAGAGTGACTGAGTGTGCATGAGATAAACTTTTTACATCTTTATTATTTGGTTCCTTTGTGATTTTTGATACAATTAATAGTCTTTCCTGAAAAACAAAACAATGATATGCTCTATTGCCTCATTTCCCAACCCTAGTGTTTATGAAAACATATAAGTCAGGTTATTTTCCCCAGACTTCAAAAACAGTTGATACATTGTTTTAGAATTCCATGGTATTGGATATTGCTTGGTCACATGTATAATTTTTTTTTTTTAATTGGTACCAGGGATTGAACTTGAGACCACGGTCTTGCAAGGCAGGCGCTTATGCCGCTGAGCTAAATTCCCAGCTGTCGGATATTGCTTGAAACCAAGTAGGGCTTGCAGTAGTAGTAGAAGGAGCCTAGAACCCGCAGTAGGGAACTTGATTGTCGACTCCTCCTGCCACCTCCTCACTGAAATGAAGCAAGTCACCTTCTCAGGGCTTTGGGGGGTGGCTGTCACATCTCTCTCTCCCTACCTGACGTCATGATGAAGTTCAGTTAGTATTATATGTGTAAAAGCTTTAATTGTAAAATGATGTAGGAATGTTACAGTAAACTTGACACAGAGGTAAAGATTTTGCTTTCACAAAATGTTTAAATAAGGCACTTTAAAGGAAATATTATTCCTGTTCTGTAACTAAGCTGAAAATTATTTCTTTCTGGTGGGACCAATTTATGCTAAGACTCAGACTTACATGTAAAACATACTCATTTTCCTTTAAGCAGTTAGGCAATGTATTGCAAATTTATTTTTAATATTCCTTGTAAAGTGTTTTTAATTTCCTTATCACACTATACTTTTTTCTTGATGAAGTGCACACAGTAGAATTTGACCTACAAATTTAATTTCTCCTCTCAAGGAATCATAACCTAGTGGGAAATCAAGATAGGAAGGTAATGTAAACATTAAAGTAAATAAAGCAGTGCCATCCGAAAACATTGGGTCTTTGTTCAGCTGTGAAGCTTTAAAAAAGACGGAACTAATTGGGAAAACCTTTTCCTCTGAGAACTCGCCATTTCTTCCATATTTGCTCTAGGTGTCTTTCTTAGGAGAGATTGTCTTTGCAAATCTGAGAAAACTGTTAAGAAAGTGTTCCTTGAGGTTTGACTTAAGGATTATCTGGATAGAAAAAACAGATGAATATGCAAAGCTTTATGTTTTGAAAATAAACTCTAAGTTATGTCATTATGAAACTGGTTAAATTTTGAACTTTAGGTAACTATTAAAGCCGACAGACCCAGAAAAATGTTCAGAATATAAAATGGAAAAAAAGTTTGTAGAACAGTGTGTTCTAATTTTTATAAATGTACACACAAGTATATTTAGGTTTTACACTTCAAACTATTTGGGATAATAGAAAGTGTGAACATGCTTTTCTTTTAGCAATTTTCTAATCTCTTATCATATGTATATTTTCTTTTTAAAAACTGTATCTCACAATAAAAAATAAATATAGGCCTGGCATGGTGGTATACATCTATCATCCCAGCACTCAGAAGGCTGAGGCAGGAGGATTGCTGCAAGTTTGAGGCCAGCTTGGGCTACATAGCAAGTTCAAAGCCAGCCTCAGCTATACAGTGAGACCCTGTCACTAAAATAAATAAATACAAAGAAGAATTAGTGAAAGGAGGAAAGAAGAAGGGGTTTATGCACACGAAGCATCATGAGAAAGTTCTAGTGTGGTCCAGAAGTACAAATAGAAATTAGAAATAAAGAAGTCTGGACAATCTGAGTTAATGTTATACTCCTCTTTCCCCCATTGTGTATCAGAATGTTTGTTTGCCTCTTCTCATGAGAAAACTGAAGTGTTGGTACTCAGATTTTTCTGATGAGACTTTCCAAGTGAGGCCAGTGTTGTGGCCTCAAGCTTTGACAGGTGGCCGTTTAAAAAAACATTTTATGCAGTGTCTTTTACCATCCCCCACCATTTCTTACTCCTGTCACAATTACATTAGCAGCAGGCTTGTCTGAGCAGCTGAAAGCCCTTTTGTATTCACTTCTCTAAGCTGCTGCTGTGGGACAAGTGAAGAGAAGACGGCTCTCTTTAAAAAAAAAAAAAAAAAAAAAAAGACGGAAAAAAATTTAAAAAAGGGGCTGGGGATTTTGATTTAGCTCAGCGGCATAAGCACCTGCCTTGCAAGCAGGCAGTCGTGAGTTCGATCCCCGCTATCGATAAAAAGAGAAAAAAAAAAGACAAGAAGACGGCTCTCAAGCCTGTGTCTTTAGCACTCAGTGGTCAGTTGTGTCTTTTGATGATAGTTGAAAATCCCGTTTCTTTGTTTTAATGACATTCTCTCTGTCTGTGCAAAGAAAATCCTTTCAGTGTGTAAAGGTGATTTTTATCCTGCTGTGCAGTATTTTTTAATAACATGGTAGTAATTTAATCTTGACATAGCAGTCCACTTAAGAGAGACGGGTTTTGTGTTGGTGCTTCTCTAGGGCAGTGCTGGTGAGTTTACGGCATTGTGCCATACAGGGCTATTTGTATCACTGAAACCTCTAAAAGGTGTGTCATTTCTGCTCTAGGGTCTTCATTTTCATCTTCCTATATGGGAATGTCTCAGGGAGAATGTCTTATACGATTTTGGCATTTTTCTTTTTCACAAGATAATATGTACCATGAAATCCCAAAAGAAGTTTTGTTAAAAATTTTGTTGACTAAAAAAGATTATGAAATACAATGCATTTTTGTTACAGTTGCACATTAGATCATTAGTATGTTTTAATAGGTTTAAATTGTGTTGTTTATCTTTTGAAAACAGTATAGTTCCTCCTTGGTGAAATGAAGCTTTTGTTTTTGTTTCTTTTTCTAGGTTTCAGCATTAAAAACAATGGCCAGCCAGGGAGGTCCCAAGTATACCCTCTCCCAACAGCCTTGGGCCCAACCAGGTATTCAGAATTTTGATTCCTATTTTAGGATATTATTAATTCTTGTTTGTATAGCTTTATTGTGACAGGTTGAAGTTGGTTCCCTGTTCACTCTGGGATACTGTGATCTTAGTTAATGCAAGGTTCAGTTTGGAGCTGACAGGTCTTAAGTGACTGGCACTGTGTGTATCTCAGTAAACATTCCGAGAGAGGAAGAATTTAAAAAAATTTTACCCAGTTAAAAATAAAATGTGGCTCAAAAGGAAACACTTTGGAGTCTGACTTCTGTATATCTACTTTTCTTTGTGTTAGATGGAGCTTTGATAAAAATAATATATTTGACAGAATGAAGTTAGGGAGGAGAGAACCTAACTATTTACAAGTATATGAACAAATGTGGGGCCACTGTTTTATTCCACATTTTCTTTGTCTTGACATATTCCTAGGTTCTTCTGGGCATGTGGGTAGAGGAGTGCCCTGCACTTCCTGCATTGGTTGCAATTTCTCTGAAGTGAGACTGTTTGATTCTTCCAGTCCGTGCTGGCTGCGGGTATCTGATGGTGGCCGTTGGGTGTGCCAGTGCAGGACTGTCTGCTGTTTTCCCAGCCTGCTTTGGCTTGCTGGTGGCTGTTGGAGTGAATGCAGGGGTAGGGCTGGCCCACTGGCTGCTGCCTTCTAGCTGGTTACCTGCAGGGAGCTATGAAGATGGTTGCCCTCACCGTGGCTATTAGAATATGTTCAGGAGCAGGGCTGGCCACCACCTCCAGGCGAGCTGGTTCCTGGTGGGGAACCTTGGTGGCAATGGCTGTTGGGGTACACACAGGGGCAGGGCTCAGCCCAAGCAATTTCCACCATTCTGCTCCCAGTTAGGAGCTGCTGGGGGAGCTGGCTGCAGTTGGTTCTAGGCTTATCCTGCCTGACTCCAGAATGGCTCCTGGCCTATTGCTTTCTCCCGCAGGAGACCTGAACCCTCTGCACTCCACCAGCAGCCAGTGTGGTCCCCTGTTATCAGCTGCTCCCCTCCACTGCCACATCTCTTTGCAGGGGCTTCCAGGCTTGCCAGACACCACTGTCACCGTGACCTGGCTCCAACAACTCCTCCTCTCACAGTGGGTCTGGCCCCGGGTGAAGGTGCCAGCTACTGTCTTCTTCAAGTTTTACTTTGTTGCTCTCTGTGGGCTTCAGCTCTCACTTTAGGGTCCTTCTGGTCCGTGGGACCCACTTCTTCCTTCTTGTCCTCCCCACAATGCTATTCTAGCATCTGGACGGTTTCTCGCGGAGAGGCTGTTTATCCTGCCGCTTACTGTTCGGCCATCTTCCCAGAAGTCAGCTCTGTGTATTTATACTTTAAATACTGGTATTGTATATTAGATTGAAATCTTTAGCATCTTTAAAAAGGAGCTTACTTGATGCAGTTGAACATTCTGTCATAAAACAAGTCAGAATCTTTTACTGATGAGACTAGAAATTCTGTACACGGTCTGCATTAGTGTCAGTTCCCTATTCTTACTCCTCACAGTCAAGATCAGTCAGTCCTGAACTCATCTGGACCCTTGGAGCAACATTTGTGATCTTTAGATTAACTGGAGCCTTTGGTTTTATGTTTCAATTGCTTAGAAGGCTAATTTAGAAATAGCTGATTTGTAATTTAAATGTTTATGTAAATGAAATTCCTAGATACAATAAATCTTTCTTAAAATAGGTAAAAACAGCAGATAGGCATTGGCATATTTAGTACAGCTAATCTCAGAGACTTGATGAATAGTTAATATATTGTTCTTTCCATTTTAGAAAGATCAAAGTAGCGCTATTATTTTCTCAAGTGTAATCCTAATAGAATTCACAGTATTATGTGTATACCAATGCTCTTAAGCATTAGTAGAATGTCATTAGTAAAGCAGAAATAGATAAAAAGAAACTGACAAAAAGGACTGATTGAAATAGGGCTTGCTATTTTGTTGTATACCTCATTTGGCATCTTTCTAAGTGAGGCAGTCTTAGTGAGGATAGCAGTTACTGTTGGGGGTGGGGACAGAGTCTCACTATGTAATTCAAGTTGGCCTCAAACTTGCGATCCTCGTGCCTCAGCCTCACAAGTGCTACTTTTACAGGCAGGCAGCATCATGCCTGGCAAACTATTTAGTCTACCTTGTGTTTCTTATGTTCTGTCGGTTTAGCCGTAGGGGAGGTGTGGCGATGGTTTTCCATAGTCTATAATACATGAAGCCCACACGTTAGTGTTAAAAGAGATTTATGGGCTGAGAACATCTAGGAACTGGGTTGAGCCCCTCTGCCTTAGAAATCCAGGGTGATGGGCCATGCAGAAGTGGTCGGTCAGGTTTTGGGGGATCGCATCATGATAAGTTTGGACAGTGAGTTATAAATCAGGATGTCAGTTCGTTAATTTGGCCTGGGATAGGGTTTTTTTGGGGGGGAGGTATCAAGAGCTATGAAAACTGATTTAGTGACCCCTGAAGTACATTGGTGGTGACTGAACCAGAACCCACAGAGTAAGCACGCAGAAGGAGCTTTTGCTTGTTTAATGAAAAATCATTCTGGAGTGTTTCCTTTTTAGAACATTGGTGCTTTCTTGTCTTATTACAACCCCTGTTAATTAATTCTTTTACATGGCACAAAATTCAAATTATGAAAGGCATAAAAAGAAAAATTCTATTTTCTGCTTGTAGACTAGTCCTTCTCACAAAGGTAACCACTGCTACAGTTTCTCTCCCCAAATTATGTATATGCAACCTCATCTGGACTTCAGAATTTTTTTTTTTTTCTTGGTACCAGGATCTGAACTCAGGATCATGTGCTTGCCAGGCAGGTGCATGTACCACTGAGCTACATCCCTGGGCCTAGGAATTGTCACCCAGATGAGGTTAAACAGTGTCCCTTGTTGTTTACACTTGCTGTGTATCTTGCAGCACTTCTGTACCAGTGTATCCAGCACTGGCTATTATGTGATGAATGCATAGGATGCAGCACCATAATGCAGTTTTTTTAATTCTGTAAAGGGATATTTAAATTATTATTATTATTATTATTTTTTGTATTTTTACCGGTACTAGGGATCGAACTCATGACCACACGCTTGCAAGGCAGGTGCTTATGCCGCCGAGCTAAATCCCCAGCCCCTTATTTAAATTATTTTTAGCTTGTGTTTCTACATAGTCATCAATAAAAGTCCCTATATCATTCCTACATATCTTGGTAATTGGTAAGTTATATTAGTAAAATAAATTTTTAGTAGTTGAGATGTTAAATGGAAGAATATGTGTATTTTCAATTTTGCTAGATAAGCCTAATATCCCTCAAAAGAAGTTGAACTGTTTTCTGGTCCCATCGACCTGTAATGAGGATGCAGTTGTCCCTCAGTCTCTGTTTGGGATTGGTTCCAGGACCTCCACAGATAACCCAACCCCCTGGGTGCTCAGGTCTCATAAAAAGTGATGTATACTTTAGATCCTCTCTAGATTACTTATAATACCTAGTACAGTATAAATGCTGTATTAATAGGCATTATATTGTTTAGGGAATGACTAAATAAAAAGGCTGTGAGTGGTCAGTACAGACACAGCTTTGGGTTTTTTTTTCCTCCTTCTGAATATTTTTGATCTGCCTTTGGTTGAACCCATGAGTGTGGAGCCTGTGGTTGTGAAGGGCCAAATACCTGCTTCCCTACATCCTGGTCAAATGTGGCTACTCAGCCTCTCTGTCAGTCGTGAATATCCCATGGCTTTAATTTACATTAATTTTGAGTGAGATTGTGCATCTTAGATTCTGTCTTGTTCTTTGTAGCTGTCTAGGTAACTTTTTCTTTTAAATACTTCATATAGATGACTGCTCATCCTTTCTATATACCCATTGCAGACAGTACATTGGGGTTACACAGTACAGTGTTTTTTTTTTTTTTTTTAAAGTTCTGGAATTGTATTTCCTGACTGATAATATTGGGTAAGATGGTAATAAATAGTTCAGTATGTGTGGATATCTTCCAAGTAACTTAAGCTAGGTGCTTATTTATTTAGTGAAGTAATTCTTACTAGTATTTCTCTAAAAATGACTTTTTCAAACTTATCTCTTACCTCAAACTCTAAAGGTGCATATTTATAGCCCCAGGAAATGTCTTGAAGCATGCTCAAGGAATTGTTTTACTGCCTTAGCCTTTGGGGTTAGAGTTTTGTATGTAGTGGGATACTTAATGTTTATAGGGCTTATAATTAAACTCAATGAAAAATAGTCTTCTTTTTCTATTTCTTTGTTTGCCTCTACATTAAAATGGAAATGTTTCTTTTGCTTTGTGACACTAACGAGGTAATTTTCTTTGCAGCGAAGGTTAGTGACCTTGTGGCAGCTGCCTATAAGACAATAAAAACAAAGCTGCCCCTGACCTTGAGAAGCATGTCGCTGTACCTGTCCAATAAAGATACAGAGTTCATTTTATTTAAACCTGTTAGGGTGAGTAGCACACTGATTATTTGAATATTGGCCAGTGCATTCCAATATTCTTTTGTCACCTACCATTTTTCTTTTCCTATAGACACTTAAAAATGTTTGCATTCTCTTCTAGTGAAGTTGATCAATAATCACCATGATTCTTCAGAGGCTCTCAGAGCCTGTGCCTGTTTGAGTATATTTTCCCTGACCCTACACTCACACTTTGTCTTAAGTTTTTAGTATAACATTTTTAAAAATTAGAGATGAGTAAACAAAAAATCAGATCCTCACATTGTGTGTGGCTCAGCCCTTGAGAGCAGCACATAATTTCAGGAATTACGTTTTAGCTCAGCAGCAGAAGTTGCCTGTCCAGCAAGTGTAACATCCTGAGTTCAATTCCCCGGTACCCCCCAAAAAACAAACAAAACCAAAATGAAAAAAAAAAAAGAAACGGAATTATGGTCCATTTGATTAGTGAGTAGTGGAAGCAATGGCTGGTAACAGCCAGTGAGGGATTAAATGTCAAAGCAAATTTAAGATTCATATCTTCAAGTTCTGTGTTAAGCTCACATCTTTAAATGGCTAGTTTTCAAAGTACATTTTCGTATCTCTTGGAATTTCATTTAAAATGTGTAAGAAATTGCTGAAGACTACTATTCTCTGGGAGAATAGAGATTTCTAGAATTTAGCTTTTCCAGGAAATACTGTTTGATAAATCTTCATGAGGTTATGCTAGCATGTGAAATGTTAGGTTCAAATTATGTCTTTGGTAATCTCATCAAAAACACATGTTCTCCACTTGTTTTTAGTAAAAACCACAATGAATTAATATTCAGGTTTAAGGTGTATGTGTTTCTTGTAGCACATCTAATGTGACATCCTCTTTCTTTTTCTAAGAATAACATTCAGCAAGTCTTTCAGAAGTTCCACGCTCTGTTGAAGGAAGAGTTCAGTCCCGAAGACATCCAGATCATTGCTTGTCCTTCCATGGAACAGGTAATCCCCACACTGAACTTTATGTCCCCTGGCTTACTTTACTTGAATAGATAATATGTTGCAGGAAACTTGGTTTTAGTTTTAATTTTTAAAATTGAACATTGTTTATCCTGATAAGCAAGAATTCAGACTTTAAATTGCTTTTGAGGGACAGTTTTCAGTTGCATTTTAACCCTGATAGTGAAAATTGCTATGTTCAAAATAATGCCTGTTTGTCAAGGAGTCAACTACTGGAGTTTACTTAAAATTTCAAGCTAAAATTTCATTTTGACTGACATATGCATACTTCAAGTGAAAAAAAAGTGGACATTATTTTAGAGATTGGAATAGTTGTGAGAAGTGTTTTTTCTTCCTAAATTAAAAAAAAAATGGAATATAGGGCCAGTTTGTGTTAACTGTCACTCATTCAATCTAGTCAGCAAATTTGTAGAGTGCCCATTATATATTAGGAGTAGCTGGGGCTTTGGAGAATAGTTTACTTCTGGTCTCAAGTTAGGTGTAGTAGTTTAGGCATTTAGTATATGCTAAGGACTAGAAAACAGTGACTAGAGAAGTAAGGCTGGTGAAATCCTGGCTGAAGTGAGCCGAAGTTTTAAGGAGGAAGAAACTAGAGGGGAAAATGGGCCTTTTTAAAAATTGGGATATAATTCACTTAGCTTAAAAGTCACCCTTTGGGCCAGGGATATAGTTCAGTGGTATAAGCGCCTGCCTGGCCAGCACAAGGTCATGGGTTCAATCCTGTACCAAAACCCAGAAAAAGTCACCCTTTTGAAGTATAGAGTTTTAGTGGTTTTAAATATATTCACCAAATTGTGCAATCATTGCCATTATCTGATGCCAGAATATTTTTGTTACTTTCGCAAGAAATGCCTTAGTCATTAGCAGATTTTCTGTTCCTACGAGTTGTCTCGTTTGCTTATTCTGGATATTTCATTAAATGAAATCATACAACATATAACCTTTCATAATTGACTTTTTTGATTTAGTATATTTTCAAGTCTCATCCATATTGTAGCAGGTACCAAAACTTAATTCTTTTTTATGGCTGTGTATGTTTCTTTGTGTGCATAGACAGGGATCGTATTTTAAAAGATAACCTTGTAGTTGTAGAGTTGTATAGTCAACACTTTTTAAGTCTTTCAGAGTGACAGTTTTCTGGGTTGTTCTGACACCAACTTGCTATGTAGTTAGGCTTGTTTCCAGTGTTTCAAAATTTAATTTTGCTTTGTAGTTACGTGAAATATTTATGTGGCTCTCAAGTTAGAATTTCAGAAAAGGTAAATTTGCAGAAGTCTTTTCCTTTCCAGTCCTCTCCAGCCTTTTCCCTCCCTCTCTTACAGATCACTTTTATTTTAAAATAGTCACTGGATTATCCTGTTGCTTTTTTTCCCCCCAATGGTCTGGAATCACATGTTTGTATGTTCTTGGGAGAGGTGGATGTGGAATGGAGTCTCAGAATCGGGGGGACTCTTTGGTGGTCTGCAGGGGAAGGAAGAAGTCTGAGAGTGCAGGCACAGAAGTGGGAGGTGGTAAGTGTGGTGAAGTTCACGGAAGTCCTCGTCTAAGAAATAAGTCACATCTCAGCAAAGAAGGAAGCAGGGTCATTGCAGAGTGAGGAGGGCATGAGTGTGAGAAGTTGAGGAGGAAAGCTCAGTTGAGTTTAGTGGTTAAGAACCCAAAAGAGATCATCCAACTTAGGTGTCCAGTGGTTTTTTTCCCCCTGTAGTCAAAATCAGTTACATGAATGTAGATGTGGCCTGACTGGATTATAAGATCTAGTTGTGTTAATCTGTTTTCCATTGCTATGACAAATATGCAAGATAATAAGCTTATTTAAAAAAGGTCTATTTGGCTCATAGTTTTGGGGTTCAGTTTATGGCCAGTTAGTTCTGTTGCTTTTGGGTCTGCAGCAAGGCAGCACGTCTTAGTGGAAGTGTATGGTGCAGCGAAGCAACTCACCTCATGGTTAGGAAGCAAAACAGAAGCAGAAGGGAGTGCGAGTCTCGTGCCCTCAGTGAGGGCGCATTCCCAGTGACCTGAGGACCTCCCTCTAGGTCCCGTCTCTTACAGTTTCCATCATCTTCCTGCAGCGTGGGCAGGGGAACAAGCCTTGAGCACATGGGCCTTGGTGAACATTACAGATCCAAACTATAGTACCAGTATACAGTAGTGTAAATTCATCCTTTTAAATGTACAGAAAAGATGCAGAAGTGGGGTAAGAACCCCCATATGCATCCTTTTCTGCAGTGTATAGTTTTCCTCCTTTGCTCTGCCATCTTAGTTTCTCTCCTCCCTGTTCCTCTTTTAGGTCATTTGAGAGGCAGTTGAGAAACACTGTACACCTTTACTCATGAATACTAGATTGTTTTTCCTCAGAAAAGGACATTCTCTTACAGTACTCCTACTTCTATACAGTTTTCAAAGCTTGAAATGTAGCACTGATGCTGTGGTCTGATCACAGCTCATACTATAGATTTACCAGGGTCTTAACAAGTCCTTTTTAGATGCTGTTCCTGAGTCCAGGGCCGGTGTTACTGTGTTTGGCCCCAAGCCTCATGTAATCATGGAGGCGGCTGAACCTAGCATTTGTGATGGTTTGTTGTCTAGCACTGGAATGGGTGGTGTGAGTGCTGCAGCGGCCCCAGAGGCAGGCAGCCGGGATGCAGTGTTAAGGGCGGAAAGGAAGCATGCTTTCCTCTTTCGCCTCTTCACTCTCGTTGCTTGTAGTCACCATGAATGGGTGCCCCTCCGCCAGGCTACCCTGCCTTGGAACCAGCCGAGTATGGACTGAAACCTCCAAAAACTGTTAAGAAAGATAAAGCTACCTTTCTTTCTTCATTTTGGGCATGAGGTATTTTGTCTCAAAAAGAAAAAAGTAGCCAAGACAGCCAGTATCAGATTGTATAGTACTGTCAGGGGTAAGATTTCTAGCTTGTTGGAAGCCGGAGCAGTTCTGCACCTTCCTTGAGCTCAGTTATCTGTTTTTGTGGTCTCTTTGCTTGTGATTGTACTTGGGCTTTGTATTGCTGGTAGAAAAGCATAGAGATGATTTTATATCCTTCCTCTTGTAACATTCATTTATCAAAGAGATGAGGGGTGATGTTCTTGGTCACCAAAGTAGTTGTACTGTGTAGGATTCCCAGCCAGGTCCAATTACCTACAGCTTTGCACAGCTGGGTGAGACACATGTATCAGGCAAGCTGCCAATCCCTTCCTATCCCCATGGTGACCTACCTCTGGGGTCCTGGGCCTCGATTCCAGAGCAGACAGGGTATTGTTATACCTGTCAGAGTTAGAGTGTAAAGTACAATTCACCTATTTTGCCTGTTCTTGTGTATTTTAAAAACATCATTTGAAGAATTTGGCATATGTACAGATTTACCCAGAATACACTCTACACAGAAAAAGGTGCCACTGATTATGTTAATATCTATCATTTGTGTTCATGTACTGTTTTGCCATTACGACTTCATATGACTCGAGGGCCTGGATTTGGTGATAGAGAATAGCCCCTTGCAAAGTTTGTAGATGTCAGTGCCCAGTGGCTGTACAAATGGTCTTTTCTCCTTTTCTCTGAGGCTCCAGACTCCTTTTCAGTAGGGCAGCATTCTGAAGCAGAGCTAACAGCCTGTGCTTTGCTTTTCAGGTAAACCTCCTGCTGTCAGTTCCTAAATAATCAGGATGGTCAGGAAGTAGAGAATGGGCTGAAAAGCCTTGCAGCCTGCAGGACTCTGAGGACTCCTACGTGAGACTGTCCCCAAGACCTCCACTAGCGTGCTGCTCAGTGCTAACTGTAAAGGAGGCATAAGCAAAGTGTTGAAAAGATAGGTGTTTCTCTTTGAAAACATCAAAATGCCAAAGATGAATGGATCCTCATTTAAATGGACACAAGAAATGTAAGTTTTTGAGAGGTAGCCATGGGAGCTTGAAGTGAAATGTTTCTTCACAAAAGTTGTGCAATAAAAATAGGTTATAATGAGTATTGCTAAGAACTTTATGGAAATACAGCTTATGAGAAAGCTGCTAAAGGTAAGGTTTGCTAATGCATGAAACACAAAACCCTTTCAGCAACACTTCTAACCACTGAGCATTCCACAGTGACTATTTTTTTACTTTCACAAACTTTATTTCTTTTGAGACAAGGTCTCACTATACAGTTCAGGCTGGCCTTGAACTTTCTATGTAGCCCAGGCTGGCCTTGAACTTCAGTTGATCCTCCTTCCTCAAAAACCTTATTTCTATATTTCTATATTTAATGTAATGTTTCTCTTATAATTTGATGTTTGGTTGGGAGTAGCTTCCAAGAATGCATCTTATTTTGCTGGGATTCAGGGTGTTTCTGTTTGATGTAAGGGCATCGTGGACAGTTCCAGGATCTGAACTCCTTGAACTGCTGTGGTACGAAGTGTTCAAAGCAGGGAGCTGCAGCCTCTTGCTGAGGGTATAGTTCTTCCATGTGGATCTTTGGTACAGCCATCAGTGGGATGAGTGAGAATTACAAATTAAGGTGTCTTCACGCTTACGTATAAAGGGGAGGTGGAAACCTGATGAGTAGCAGGTCTCCTGAATGAAGCTTAGTTACAGCCTTCTGCAGGCAGCCTCTGGTTGCAGCTGCTGTTTGTAAAGTGGCACTTTGATGTGTGTTGCATGTGTCTAGCAGCCTGTGTTGTGCTGTGCACCAGGCTGGTGGGCTTCCATCCCTGCTACAGCAGAGTATGTTTTGCCAACACACATAGGACAACAAACACTGCCCACGTCTTAGAAACACCACACCCCATCAGGGATCACACATGAAACAAAACAGTGGATTTCCTACAAATCCCTTCCTCTTTAAATTTGGAGCTAGATTGTACCTCTAATGTTGTAAATGTAGTGTGGTTGTTTCAGAAAGAATTCTGAATTCCTTAAACCCTGGTGTGGAGGCAAGACAAAAAGAGCTCTGGAGTGGCCAGAGACCCCTTGGTGCAGGCGGTGTCACTGTGCCCATGCTGCACACATGCGTGCGTACTGAGTGAGTTCTTCACAGGTGCAGTTAGTTCCATTCTGGTGTCTGTCAAATGTAAGAGGTCCTTTGTTTTTAATCACTTTTATTTTGGCAGGGGATGTTTCTTGATAAGAGTTTGTTATTCTTACGTTTTGAGAAGGTAGAAGGTAAGAAGGCCATATTCTTTCTTTGCCTTGAAATGAATGAATTAGGAAGATTGTATTTACTTCTACTTACCGTTTTAAATACATTTATAAAATAAACTGTAAAATATCTGGTTTTGTGTATTATATGTACATTTGGTTTTTAAATAGTCTTCCCAAAGAAATGAGGGCATGATTATTGTATTATACTGTGACTGATGTAGTTTGATGTACAGAGAGTATTCTTCAGGACAAAACATTTAATGGCAGTTGTTGTGTTTTGATCTTTTGTTGCTGAAACACTCAAACACCTTACAAAGTGCTAAGTAGGTGATAGTGATCCAACTTGTTAAGTGAATATTTGTTTAAATCTGTACAGTTTCAAGTGTTTACTTATACAAAAAGTGTACATAGTTTCAAATAATTTAAAATGCTTTATATTATGAGTAGAAATTGTTTTTAATAAATGAATTTTTAAGAAAATAAAGATTTTTTTACTGTTTTGTGTCTGATAATGTGTTTGGATTCTTTCAAAAATTTTTTAATTAAAGTTTTATTGAGAGAATTTGTAGATCCACACACAGAAATCCATGTGTCTTTTGTCTAGTTTCCCCCAGTGCTAACATTTGCGGACAGGAATGAGGTAATCAGAATATGGACCTTGATGCACTCCACACCAGCCTTCCTCACGTTTTCCCCTTTTTACATAGACTGCATAAATTACTTCGGCAAGGTAATTACTTTGAACAGACATTTTTGAAACATTCATTAGTTAAAAGATTTTTTTAGTCAGCTTTCCATTAACTGTAATAAATACCTGAGGCAAATCTCTGCTTGTAAAAAGGAAAGGTTTAGTTTGGCTTACAGTCTGGGGTCTTCTGCTTTGTGATGGATGCTTGATGATGCAGTGCAGCATGGCCAGCAGTGTGGAGTAAAGCAGAGTTGACGGAAGCAACTCCTGACGGAAGCAGCCTAGAGGGTGGCCTGGCCTCTACTGTCCCTTCAAGAGTGCACACCACCAATGAGAGGACCTCCCAGGACCCCCACCTCCAGTGAAGTTTCCTCATCTCACAGTAGCAAAGGACCTTTGGGGAAAATTCCATATCCCAACTAGCAAAAGGATATTTAAGTTTTTCTTTTATGGCAAAATTACAAATTTCCTGAGTACTGTCAGCACAGATAACTATGTTGAAGTATAGTAATAGTGAAGTAACAGTAAAACAGTTTGAGTGTGGACCTGTAATCCCAGTTACTCAGAAGACTGAGGCAAGAGGATTACAGATTTGAGGCCAACGTGGGCAAAGCCCTGCCTCAAATTTTCAAAGGGTTGGGAATGTGGTGGAAAAGTAACGTGCTTTCCTGGTGTTCCTGAGGCTCGGTACTGCAACAACAGCAAAAACCCACATTTTCCCCGTGGTTTAACAAACCCATATTTTTAAATTCACATCTCTTACTTTATTAGTAAGGCAGAATAGTCAACCTTAGTTCTTAAAAAGGGAGTTTTGGTTAAACGAACCAGGAGATGTGAATGAGAGGTCTCAAAAAGGAGGGACTTTACCGTATCTTCTCTTTGGAGTACTGCTGTCAGTATTCTTTTGTTGCTTGCCTATCTTTAGACTCTTCATTGTGGATACCAGTGAAAAGGGAAGTGAAAACCTTGTACAGTGATACTCATTTACAGAATGATATGGCATACTCCTGTGATCTTGGCACTCTGGGAGGCTGAGGCAGGAGAATTCCAGCCTCAGTCAGGTCTGTACAACTTAGCAAGACTCTCAATAGAAAGAGCTGAGGAAGTAGCTCAGTGCACAGGCCCTGGATTCATCCCTTAGTACTGAAAACAAAAAGCATCATTCAGTAAGTACAAATTTTTGAAAATATTTCAAAATTGTACAAATTTGCTCACACATTTCTATAGTGTTTGATTTGTAGTGTAAAATATAAATTCTTTCATAAATGAGCCCTCAAGGAAAAGCAGGGAACCAACAGTAGTATGTAACATGACAAAGATAAGGCCAATACATATCGGTTATAGCCATCAATGTGAATAGCCTCAAATTCACCAATTAAAATAAACACTGACAGAATGGATCAAGAAATGATCCAACAATGTGCTGTATACAAGAAACACATTTAACTCAAAAAGAAACTCACAGACTGAAAAAGGATGGAAAACTCCATGCAACAGGAACCAAGAAAAAAATAGGGGTAGCTATTATGTTTGCAGATAATGTGAACTTCAAACCCAAAATGATCAAAAAAGATAAAGAAGGCCACTACGTATCTGTTGGGGGCAATTCAAGCGGAAGAGATAACAGTCATGAATATATATGCACCAAATGTGGGAGCATCCAACTGGATAAGAAAAACCTTCATAGACATGACAAATCAAATAAGCAGTAACACAATTGTGATGGGAGACTGTAATACCCCATTGTCAGAGAGAGAAACTAGACAAAAAATCAGTAAAGAAAGAACTGATCCAAACCTGTGAACAAATGGACTTAGTAGACATTTACAGAGTGTTCCACCCAACATCAGAATACATACTCTTTTCAGCTGCACATGGGGAAATCTTAAAATAGGACATACACTAGCCCATAGAACATGTTTAAGTAAATGCAAAGGAATTGAAATTATCCCATGCATATTTTCTGACAACAGTGCAATGAAATTGGAAATGGCAAAAGAAACTATAAAACCTCCATAAATATATGGAAAGTAAATAACAACTTCCTGAACAACCAGTCAGATGAAATTAAACAATATTTACAGTCAAAAGTGCAAATACAACATTCTGCAACCTGGAGACACAATGAAAGCAGTCCTAAGAGTTCAATTTGTAGCAGTGTATTCTTACATTGGGAAAACAATGTATATAATCTAATGCTATGTTTCAAGTTTCTAGAAAAAGAAAAGCAAGTCAAGCACAAACCCCATAAAGGGAGGAAATTATAAAGTTCAGAATAGAAATTAATGCATTGGAGAATAAGTACAATACAAAGATTTAGTGAATCAAAATTGGTTCTTTGGAGCCACACTTCTGTGAGACACCAGCCACCATGACCATTGGGAACTGGCAACCAGTGCAGGCTGGGAGAAGCAGTCAGCCAAGCTCCCTCATGCCTACTTTTGGGGAGTCTCAGTATGGCTATGCATGTCTGGAAAAGCCCACCCTGTACCCCATTGTCTCCCCAGAACCTAAGTCAAGAGAAACTCAGGTGCCTGGTACTTTCCCCTACACTGCAGATAGGCAACCAATATAGGAAATGCCCAGAATCTCACAACTGGCTCTTGCAGAGGAACCCAGGAAAATGTCAAGACAAAGGAGCAAAAGGCAATCTCTGGCCTCTAGTCCACACAGAACAAGTTTAGGAGATGTAGATATGGGAGAAATGGAGGTTCCACACCTGAAATTCCTGAAAGGATAGCAACTGAAAGAAACAACTCCTTTGAGGCTGTAAAAGTAATCAGATCAAAAATAATTTCTAAGGTAGAAGAAGAAATGGCAAACAAAAGATTGCTGAGGATATCTAAAGAAGACATAGAAAAAGAGTGTAGGAAAATGATGGAAACCTTGAATGGACAATATATGAAAGAATTACAGTTCATGAATCAGATTCAAAAAGATATCCAGGTAATTAAAAACTCCATTGAATGCTGGCAAAACTGCTTGAAAGAAACTGAAGATAGACTTTCAGACCTTGAAGACAGGATGGCAGCTAGTGATTGTGAAAGGAAAGATCTCTTAAAAATAACAAGGAACCAGGAAATTCAACAGCTGCAATATGATGCAAAGAAAAATAATTGAGGACTGATAGGTGTCAGTGAAAAAAAAAAAAGTCAACACAGTGATATAAAAGACTGTTTACAGAATAGCAGAAAACTTCCTAAATGTGAAACGGGCCTGACATACAGATAAGTGAGGCATACAAAACACCAACTAGCCAAAACCAAAGTAAATCTACACCTAGACATACAATGACCAAGATCACAGAAACTCAGTACAAGAACAGAATGTTAAAGGCTGTTAGAAAAGAAATGGATCATCTGTAAAGGAAAACCCATCAGGATCATGGAAGACTTCTCAACACAAATCAAGTACAGCTTGAAGTATTTCAAGTCCTGAAATAAAATAGCTTCCAACCCAAATTGATGAACCCTGCAAAACTATCTTTCAACATTAATGGAGAAATGAGCTACTTCCATGATAAAAAGACCAGTAAACGAATTCATGAGTACAAAACCAACCCTACAAAGAGTGTTGAAGGATATTCTAAAGAGAGATAAAGATGACCATGATTCCAGAAACAGCAGGAAGGGGGAACCAGCAAGCAGGGCAGGCAATTGAATGGAGAGGAAAAGTAGGGGGGCCAGTCTCAGGAGGATAGCAGGGCAGAGATGAACCAGTGCATGTTGGTTATAGCCATTAATGTAGATGGCCTCACTTCACCAATAAAAAGGAATGAGCAGAGTGGATTGGGAGACAGGATCCATCAATATGCTGTGGGTAAGAAATACATTTGACTTGAAAGGAAATTCATAGGCTGAGGGCCGGAGGAGAGAAGATAATGCTCCATGCAGCAGGAACCCAGAAAAAAGCAGGGGTAACTTACCCATTAATCACCGACTGTATAAGATATGGTATTTTTATACAATTGAAAGCTATTCAGTTATGAAGAAGGATAATCTCAAGGCTCTTGTAGATAAATGGATGCAACTTGAGATCATGCTCATGAGAAAAATAGGACAAACATGGGTGAACATTGTGTTGTCTTCCTAGTATAAAAAAACTGAAGGAGTTAGTGGGATCCAAAATGTACAATAGCTATTGTGAAAGTGAAAGGGAGGAAACATCTAAAAAGGGAAGATGGAAATCATTGTTAATTTCCTACTATCTTGTTTTAAAGTCCTGTATCACTTTCATCATTTTATTTTGTTTGGTTTTATTGTTTTTTTTTTTTTAAATTGTATTATGTCTGATGGTATGGATGGCTGTTTTGAAGATAACACGACATAGTAGCCATTGTTGATTTCCTATTATCTTGAACTCCTGTATGGCTTTCATTATTTTGTTTTGATTGGCTTTATTCTGTTTCATTTTGTTTAGTTTTATTCTTTAATAAATAGAGTTGGTTCTTTGAAATAATAAAGTTGATAAAAAGCTAGCCAACTTTATCAAAAAAGGAAAAAAATCCTAAAATTCATGCAATGATGAGTGAAAAGAGTGAAAGCACTACAGATCTTGTGGAAATTCAGATCATCATCAGTACCTACCTTCAAAAATCTTTACTCATATAATATAGAAAACTAGAAATAGATTCCTAGAAATAAGTGAATTACCAAAGCTGAATCAAGAAGATATAAAAATTCTGGGTAACCCAATATCAGTTAATGAAAGTGAAAATGTAATAAAAACTTTGCAATAAAGAAAAGCCTAGGTCCTGATGGATTGAAAACTGAATTCTACAAGAAATTTAGAGAACATTTATTGCCAATATTCCTCAAACTCTTTAATGATATTGAAAGAGAGGCAATTCTCCTTAACTCATTTCTAGAGGTAGGTATTTCCCTGATACCAAAACCAGAGAAAGACCCCCCCCTCCCCGCCGCCAAAAAGAACTATAGGCCAGTCTTCCTAATGAACATAGATGCAAAAGTCCTCAATAAAATGCAGCAAGTCATCAAGAAGATTATACATCATGACCAAGTGGGATTCATCCCAAGAATGTGGGGTTGGCTCAACATATGCAAATCAATACATGTAATACACTATATGAACAGAGTCAAAGACAGAAATCACATGGTCATTTCAATAGATGCAGAAAAACTTTTGATAAAGTCCAACACATTCATGATAGAAACCCTAAAGAAAATCAGAATAGTCTTTACCTCAATCTGATAAAAGTCATCTATGACAAACCAACAATGAATACCACTGAATGAACAAAAACTGAAAACTTCCATTGAGAAATCAGGATCAACACAAGGATGTCCACTATCACGACTCCTATTCAATATAGTTCTGGAAATGTTAGCCAGGGAAATTAGATAAGAGAAGTAAAAGTAACAAGGATAGGAAAGAAAGGAGTTAAATTATTATGTGCAGATGACATATACTCTACCTAGAAGACCCTAAAAGCTTCACCAAAAGACTTCTAGATTTAATAAGCCAATTCAGTCGTGTAGCTGGATACAAAGTCAACACTCAAGTATAAATTGCATTTCCGTAACAAACAGCAAACTCACTGAGAGAGAAATTAGGGAAACAACAGCCTTCACAATAGCGTCCAGAACAAAACAAAAACACATAGGAGTCAATGTAACAAAGGCAGTAAAAGACCTATATTTCTGAAAAAAGGAGATTAAAGAATATCAGTGAATGGAAAGACATCCCTTGCTCATGGATAGGAAGAGCTAACATTGTGAAAATGGCCATACTCCCAAAACTGTTACACAGATTTAATGACATCCTGATCAAAATACCATTACCATATCTCACAGATCAAGAGAAAGCTTTCCTAAAATTTATCTGGAAACAAAAGAGACCTAGAATAGCAAAGGCAATCCTTCGGCCTTGTTGCCCTGTTGTCCTCATATCTGATACATGATCCATTTTGCTTGATGGTTTTTTTTACCAACCCAGCTTAGAAGCTCCATGGCAAAGGAACTTTCTGTGTATCCAGTAGGTGCTCAGAAAGGTGCCTGCAGTAGGTGCTCAGAAAGCATTTGTTGAATGACTGGCTCATGTCATGCAGCCTTCCCCAACCCTATCAAGTCCTGCCTGTTCTCTTTCCCAAATACAATAGCTCTGATTCCTTCCCATCTCTGCTTCCAGTGACTGCACTGGATCAAGTGCAGATCATATTCAATATTCTTTGCTGAGAATATTAAGGTATCTTTCCGCCCAGAGCCCATTCCTTTAACACTCACTTCCCCCTCTCTTCAGGAAAATAAAGCCATGAATTGTAATGGTACACCAGGACTTAGTGGCCCCTTCTACGGCTCACTTGTTATGATCCTTGAGTGCAGGCAACAGAAAACATCATCCCTTGGGGTGCAGACCAGAGACTGGAGAACAAGGGGGAGGAGAGCAAGAAGCATCACAGGTGCAGGCTTGTCTTTTCCCAGGTGTGGCGGGCCTGGGCCAGACATTGCTTTCATCTTGGCCGTGCCGCCTCCTGCCGGACGAGTATTGTATTTGGCTCTCCGTGCTACGATGAAAGCTGAAAGCTGATCAGGGGAGGAGGATCGAAGTTCACTCCCTGCCCAACACTGAGATTCTGGAGCTGCACCTGGAGATGGTTTTCCCTCAGCAGCTGGGGCAGTGTTAACTTTTGTAGCGTGCTGGGCTACAGTGCGAGTCGTGGGGAGGGTGTCTCTAGCTGTGGTGTCTGTTTTTCCTTACATGCAGCTTACTAAGCAGAGACAGGACGGTGCCACCACATGCGCTCCAGTGAGCTCCCCCATCCCAGGGAAAAGTACAAGCCAGAGAGAGAGAGAGAGACAGAGAGAGAGACAGAGAGAGGGAAGGGTTGGGATGTGAGGGAAGAGGGGAAGAGGGCGCTATGCCATTGGCTGCTATTTTATTTGTGAAGCGTTTTTACCCTTGTATTGTTATTACTGTATTTACATTTTCCTCCTCCTATTTAGTGGAGTGCCTTCTGACAGCTCCTTGACCCATACAACCTTTTTTAGTGTTTATAGCTTTACCACTGCCTGTTAAATTTTTTTCCTTTTTATCGGTACCGGGGGTCGAACTCACGACTGCCTGCTTGCAAGGCAGGCGCTTATGCCGCTAAGCTAAATCCCCAGCCCCCAGTTAAATTAATTCTTGCAAGAGAGATTCCTCCCATAAAGGGAGAATAGTGGGGCAGGCAGGGGTCAGGGGGGCTGCACAGCCACAAAAAGTTATGTCTAACAAACTCAAAACACCGTATCCTTCCTGGTGTGTAGCTGTCAGTATCTCTGCATACGCCATTGTCTCTCACTGGGGCTCCCAGCATGCCCTGCTCTTCTTCGCTCTGTAGCTCAGTTCAGAAAGAGGTTCCTGTGACTTGGCCCTTAACCTGGGTTCCCCCTTTGCCTGCATTCTACTGTGTCCTCCATAAAACAGCAATTTCATTGCTTCTCTTTCCCACTCTCTAGACCCCTCTTACTCTCCCCATCCCACCCTGGCCACTAACTATAGGCAGTCTATTCTTGGTCTCCGCAGCACATAGTGGGTACCTGGTGCCCATTGGATGTCCTAATTAAACACTGAAGAGACTCCAGTTTGGAGGACATTGGAAGGAGCTCCATCTACCTTGGGGTATTAACTGATGAATCACCCTTTAAGAAATCCTTGAACCTGCCAGTTTAATATGGATACATAGCCAAATCTAGTTCATTTCCATTTCTAGAAGTGCTTTCTTCCCCTGGTTTAAGGTAAGATGATATTGAACCAGCAAGGATATGTTCTTTCAGAAATGTGGATGCCTGTGAGATACCAGGGGTGTGAATCAGAGGTTGTCAGGAGATAAATTGTGTCCCAATCAAAGTTCATACAACGAAACCCTAACCTCTAATACCACAGAATATGACCCTTATTTGGAAATACAGTGTTTGCAATGTAATTAGAATGAGGATACTGGGGTGGGGGGGAGCAGGGAAATCCAAGACTGGGGCCAATCCCACCTTCCACACTCTTAGGACCCGCACTGTGTCCAGGTGTTGCTGAGATGCTTCAAAATCAGGAGCCCCTGGAGGCTAGTAGAGAGCTGTGCAGAGGTGGCAGTGGCTTGGTGTTTGGGATAAGCTTCCACAGCTCCCTGGGGCTAGGGTTGGGGGTAGGGGAGGGGTCCTGCACCAAATAGGGGTGGGCTTGAGCCTGGCCTAGGGAATCACAGAAAATCCCATTTGTCACCAGAACAGTTATCACTTTGTAGCCAGGTAGGTTGGGACATCAGTCTTCACTGCCACTAATTAGTATGGAATCTTGAGTCAGGTGTTTAACCTCTTTTCCTTAAGAAAATACTGTCCATGTCACAGAGCCACGTAAGGCCTAACTTGCATACTGTTTAGTTCAGGTTTACAATTTGGTTGCTCAGTGACAGTGAGTACCATAATGAGAAAGCCCTGAGAAAGCTGAATGAACTCTTTGTGGAAACCAAGGGAAATGCAGAAATGTACCATCTTAGTTAGCAATGTACATCTGACAGACTCCTCCTTGGAGCTGCTCTGATGTGAAGGAAGGAGCTGAGCTGGTTGGCATGATTCTCACCAAGACACTGTGCTAGGGGTGAGGGAGGAGGCATGTTGGGACTTATGCAGCGCCCCTAGCTCTGGGGTGTGGGGATTATGTCTAGACCCACTTTATAGATGTAGAACTGGAGACATAAAGGTACTTGTCCTAACGCACATAGTCAACAAGGAGCAGAGTGGGATGGTCTGTGTCTGTGTCTGTGTCCTGAGTCAAGGCAAGTGCTGAAAGCTGCCACAGAACTTCTGAACAACAGTGAGCAGGAGGAGGAGGCAGGACAGGTGTTGCCATGAATGCTTATTGAAGTAACAATGTGCTTCTGAAGCTGTCAGGTCAGCGATACCCACTGAATTGTCTCTGTGCCCAGCCACAGATTTTTGTCAGCCCTGAAAAACTTATTTTTTTCCCCTCCCCAACCAAGCAGATGTAACAGGTCCCAAATTACACACCAACTCTCTAGTGATGTAAAGGGGTCTTCGGGGTTTTCCATGAAGCTCCTGTGTACTTGCTGTTCCTAAGATACTCAGTGGAAGCTGGATGAAGCCTGGACAGTTTGGTGGTGCCCTAATGTAAGATAATCTTCGCCAGACGCATGTTCACTTTGATGAAGTTTTCCAAAGCAGGAATGCTCAGGAAGTTTAGGATCCTACTCATTTTTCCCAGAAGGATCAGGATCTTCTGGGCTATTGGGCCAGGTTCCACCTCCAGGACTGTCCTCTTTTTCATGGTGCTCAGCATCTCTGGGTTTATGAACTGTGGGATTCATAGAAGGCCAGGTGAGGACTGATGCCGTGTGAGCACTGCCCCCACTACCCAAGGACCGGTGCCCCGTGGCCATGGCGAGTCTTCCCTGGAGCTTCCACCCTCAAGGGCAGATCCATTTCCCCAGCCCTGCTGCAAGTAGCCTTTCTGCTGCTTCCCCAGACTGGCCAGTGCCTATGGCCATGCACACATGATGATGTGGGCTGAGGCCACACACATGGGCTCAGCCCACACCAGCGAGGAAAGAGCTCATGCCCTGAGGTGGACTGGCCTCAAAGGCTGTACTGTCCCAGGACATTGAGCTTCTTGCCCGTGGGATCTAGACCTCAGGGCTGGGTCAAGGAACTCTCAGGGCTCAGAGACCTCATGGTGTTCACTGATGAGTACCATTTGTACTTTGGGCTCCTTGGCAGTTTATCTGGGTTTTGTTGGGGGTGAGGCAGTCAGTATGTCATCCTCTGCCTTAGAAGGCCTATGGAAGCCTATAGAAGGCCTATAAAAGGTTGATTAAAAAGTCTTGTGGTGGGAACATGTTACAGAATAAATAACACTATCATGTATAGGTACAAAACCTCTTGATGGATGCAAAGATTATGTATATCTACATTGTACCAATAAACTTAACTAAAAAAAAGAAATCTTATAAAGTTAAAAAAAAGAATGGCACCAACATAGCCTAATTCCATGAGGTCTCCAGCTGATGACCTGTCTTCACACACACTGTCTTCCCTAGGCTATCCCCAATCCATGCCTCTTGCAGAAGACAAAGGCAGCATCACCCAGGAAATAGAGGGGTGAGTGTGGAAGGGCATGGTCTTCCCAGGGCCCCTGGCTGCTTAGCCTGGGCTGATCCTCTGGTCACAGAGCCAGCTGTCTTCTCCTTGTCTCTGTGACTCATTACATTTGTGCTGGCTTGCTCCATCTCTCTCTATGGTGACGGCTCCCCTCAGTTACTCCAGGGCTGTTAGGCCTCCTGATCTCCCTGTCCATGCATCATTTTCTGGGTACCAGCTCCCTTTCCTGGCCCACATTCCCCAGGGAACCTCACTGCTATTTACAGACAGTGGTCCACGGAGGCCCTCATGCCCTCTCCATACTCCACGGTTCCCTCTTAAGCTTGTCACTGCTGAGGTAGAAGTGTGATGGTGACTCAACACAGTAGAACTGGGTTCAGATGGATGGAGAAACCCAGAAGGGCCAGGATGTTGGCACGTACTATTGAGCCTGAAAAATGGTGGCTACGCCAGAAAGGGAACCCAGATACCAGTTGGCCAGGGCTAGTTGGAACATTCCCAAGGTTAGCATTCAAAGGTCCATGTCCTGGGAAACCCTTCGTCCTGAGTGACTGGGCAGCTGGTCAGTCTAACCCTACCATGTTTTCTCCTCTACTCAAAAATAATACTCAGTTATTAAACTGAGTTATTTTCCAGGGTTGGCTATTGGGATTCTTCCTCCAGCTCCCTCATCTCCCAAAAAACATGTCTACCTAACTGTCTGTGCTGACATTGGGCTTCTGGAGGACTGGCTTGCTTCTTTTTGGTGGATATTTGTGGGTAGAGCCTTCCATGGTGCAGTGCGGAAGGGGAGCTGAGGCAAGCATAGAGTTGTATTCAGGTTTCACTGGGGAGTCAGTTTATTCCTCTCCTTGCTTTTGGTCCCCAGGAAGGGTCTCAAGAGGCCACTTTCTTCCCCTACCAAAGGGATTTGTCCAGGGGTTCAGACTCACTGTTAGTATTGGGTTGAATTATTCCCCTCCACCCCAAGATGATACACTCAAGTCATAAACCGCTGTACCTTCTCTGACACTAGGATCTTTTCCTAAGTATCTGAAGTAATTACAGATTCAGGATGAGATCATCCTCGGCCCTAAATCCAATGACTGGTGTCCTCATAAGAGAAAGGAGGAGGAGGATGGCACACAGAGAGGATGGATGATGAGGATGGAGACAGAAATTGGAGCCATATACAAAGATGAACCCTCCATCACAGCCTTGGGAGAGTGGTGGCTTCTTCTACACTTTGATGTCAGATATTTAATCCCCAGAACTGTAAGAGAATAAACTTCTGTTGTTTGAAGCCTCTGGTTTGTGCAATTTGTTATGGTGGCCCTGGGAAACAAGTGCACAGAGGCTACTTTCCTGCTGGGTCCATGCAGAGGACATCAGATCTCTAGGTGGTCATTTGTTTGGGGACGAGCATTTAGGGAGGACCAGTCCTCCTTGGCTGTCAGACCTTGCCTTCCCATGACCAGGCTGCTGTGATGGTGACGTGAGACAATGCAAGTGACATCTTCATTTTTCTGTCTGGCTCATAATGAGCTGAGGATGTCAGCTTTTGCAGGGCTCTAGCTCCTGATGCTGGCAGGTGACATGAAGGTGTGTGGTATCAAGCATCAGGTAAAGGAAGGTGGCCTTGCATGAGCCACAGCCTGTGTGTAGGTGATGTCCTAGCCAGCAGAGAGTAGGGGAAGTTGAGATCTTACCTTGTATTTAGTGCCCAAGTTTAAACAAACCCGTTTCTGTTGATAGAAGAAAAAGAAGATGATCTGATCTTGGCTCCTTATTTGCACTTGGATGTACTGGTTGATTTTCAAGGTGATACGCTTGATAGGGGGCGCATGGGTGTGGACGCTCAGATCCCACCAGTTCCAGGCCTTCTGCTGCCTGCCTTTGGGGAAGTAGTAGCCCAAGCTGCTGCTCAGGCTCAACCTAGATGGAAAGGTCATGTTAGGCAGCTGTAGTTCTGGACACTGAGCCCCACGGCAGAGCCGGGGCCCTGTCCCTGGGTCACATACACCCTTCTCGCCTGATACTGTTACCTTGCTAAAAGTCTCCTGCCCTACATACATGGCTGGCATCTGCCTATCCTTCAAGTCTCAGCTTCAATGCCCCCTTCTCAGAGGGGCCCCTCTAGCTCCCCGACGATGCTCTGTACCCCGTTAGTTTCCTTGACGTGTGTAGCTACGCATGTCTTGTCTCTAAGAGCAGTGGGGTCATTATTGGCTAATCCAGTATTTTCAGTGTTGTTACATACTCGACGGCCAAGAACCGTGAAGATGAGCTCCTAGTGGCAAGGCCTGCTCAGGCCTGTGCCAGCACCCTTAGGCACAGGTGCTGAGCGAGGGTGGGTGGGTGATTTCTCCACAGTCCTAATTTCTGGGACTTGCCTGCCTTTTGAGCCATTCTTTCTTGGCTTTTCGAGCCCTGTATATTTTTTCACCATTGGGCCTAACCTGTCCTCCCGTCACTCCTCTTAACTTACCCGTGATGAACTGTAAACCTAGGCTTTGGAGCCGGACTCTCAGTTCAAAGCCCAGCACTGCCACTAGCAAACTGTGTGACCTTAGACAAATTACTTAACTTCTGTGTGCCTCAGTTTCCACAATTATAAAACACAGATGATAGTACTTTCCTCATAGCATTGTACGGTGATTAAATTCCCATACTATGAGTAACTCAGTAAATATTGGAACTTCCTTAATGTCTTGGACAGAGGGCAGGAACAGATCCCAATTAGTTTTGTTTTTTGTTCTTCTCCTTGAAGTAGTTCCCAAAAGAGTTCTTGCATGGGGTTAAAGTCTGTCTCTGACTGGGCACGTGATTCTGGGGTAAAGGTGCCAGAAAGATGAAACCCGAAAGAGTGTCAAGTTCTGGAGGCAGCGCTCTTGGGGGCACCCTGTGCTGTGGAGAGAGGAGACCCTGCCCACCAGAGACCATGAGTTTAGCTGGCACCTGCTGAGGAGGCTTTATGCTCTGTCCAGCACGGAGAAGAAAGGGCAAGAAAAATTGACAGCGATGTCTTTGAGGGGTCTTATCCTACTTTGGGGCAAATGGGAACAAGAAAGGAGAGGGAGGGCTGGCTAGAGATGGCACACTGCACAGCCCACTTGCTAAAGTTTGTGAGGGTCATCCCAGCTCAACTGACCAGCATGAAGGCTGAAAAGTCATCGGCACCAAGCCTGCCCATTTTATTCTCCAGAGAGGAGCTCGGGTTTGGAAGGGGAAGCTGCCAGCATTTCTCCTTCCTGACAGTGCATGAATATGGTTCCTGAAAATCTTGCAAGGGCACACAAGTCACAGGGCCCAAGGAAAGCAATGGAGATGAGAGCCTAGGGGCTCTTGGGACCCCACTGGCTACAGGCCACAGCTTTAACCTCCAAAACAAGGCTGCTTTGCGAAAGAGGGACTTTAAGTCAATGTGGCAGCTGCTTGTCCTGAGGTCCGGATGCCAGAGCCATTCCCGTACAAGGCAGAGGCCTTTCCCGAGTCCCAGCAATAACCTGGGGTATCAGCACAGTGGCTGCTCATTCCTGGTGCCAGGGGAGGATGGAGCATTGCTCTTTGTGGATTTTAATGACAGGATGCAATGGCTTCCTACTTTCTGAGTGTCTTTATTTTATCTCCCTGGGTGGATGCTGTAGCCTTGAGGGGAAGGGACATTTTGTGGCATTAGAAGCACAGCACGGGGACTCTGGCCTGGCTGCCCAGTCTGGCTGACCACGGAGTCACCTGCACACAGTTACAGAATCCAGATCTCTAGACTTAGCCTGGACCTTCACAGCCACAGTCTTGAGTTTGGGTCAGCTGGCACTCCGAGCAGCATCCATCCCCTTGGGTTCTGTTGGGTCTTGGGATTTGGAGATAAGATCAATTATTTTTTATAGATCTTGATGCTTTTTTTGAAAATGAGTTTTTAAGGCTGAAAGAAAATGTCATAAAATTTCTTTCTGATGATCTTCTTCTGTATGACTCAGGTTAAGTGATTTATCCTCTGAGCCTAAGTTTCTTTACCAATGCAATGATTACTCTAAATTTTGTATTGGAACATTGCCAAATACTATTTAAGATAATAAACTGAGCTTCTCACCCCACTCCCACTTCCTGTACCCAGGGTGAGATTATTTAGGTGGCATTTTCTATGCCACACAGCCCGCCCTCAGAGGAGAGCACATACCTCTCAGAACTAAGAAGTCAATTAGGAAATTGTGTATAAAATACCCATGAGTGGAGAAAATGTTCTTACAAACCAAGGCTTAGAGGGCAAACATAATTTTTTAGAATTAAAAAGAAATTTAAGTTTGGCTTTGAGTATCAAGAAGAAAGTATAAGTTGATCCAAGAGAGTGGGCAACTCCCACCCTGTGACCCCTTAGAATGAAAGTGGAAGGGGAAATCCTGAATAGAGACCCCTACTCGCCTCAGAGATGGAGGAACTGTTTAAGGGACCAGTTACCTTGTGCTGGTACCACAAGGTTTTCCACTCTCACCAGAGCTGGAAACTTAGGAATTATCCTTGATTATAATGGAGAATTTAGAAGTGGCCTTGACTGTGGCTTCACACTAATACATGTGTCTCCGAAGCCCCCACCAACCCTGCCTCGAGATCCTTGGGTGTTCTGGGGGTAATGCTCATGACGTTTGACTCTGGAGAGGTGCCTGGCAGACGCAGCCAGCAGATGGTTGCTGAGCCTCACTAGCTCTTTTGCCCTTGCACAGGCCATGGTGCCCTGAGGATCTTGTCCCTTCTCTGAAGAAAGGGCCCGTCCTGTTAGTCTTTCACGTGCCCCTTCTCTGGCTACACGAGAGGCAGGGCAGGAGGAGGGTCATGCAGACTGGGGAGCACACTTCCATCAACCCACTCCTCTGGGGCAGGGTTACTGGGGCTCAGGCTTACCAGATATCTCCATTTTCATCATAGAAGGTGGCATGGCCAGAATTGTCGACGAGGGCCCGGATCCTCATTTTTGTATTATCTTCCAGAATGATGTATGTGAACTTTTTAACATCTGTGCAGCAGATGAGCAGAGCCAGGTTTCCTGATGGATAGCTGGGAGATGGTTAAGGCACACGGAGTCCCTTGCGACCTGCCCACTGAAAGAGGCGAGGACATAGTCCTCGGTCAAACCCCACACGCCAGCCCCAAACCACAGACTTGTGCTGTGCCAGTCTGTGTTAATATGAGCATCTCTGCTCCGGTGGATACTGTATCTGGCCAGTCCCATTAGGAAAGAGAATTTGGAAGATTTTCTTACTGGAGTAGAGAAATAGCTTTCCATCTCCTTGATGCACCTGGAAGAGAAGACAAATCTGTGACCAGCACACAGGTGCCTGCAGCACTCCTTCAGAGTGTGGCCTAGTCACGACAGCACTGGGACCTGCATGATGATGAACCCACCCAACCTGCTAGGGAATGTTGTTTACCTCTCTATGTGAGGAGGAGGCTGGCAAGGGGAACTGGAGAGGGGTGCACTGTGCTCCACTGTGATCTTTGTGCTCAGGGTCTTTGCACTGAGCTGCATGCCCAGGCCTTTTTAAAAAAATTTTATTTTGAAAGCAGTAAAATACAACAGAACAAGACAGAATAAAGCCAACTAAGATTGTACAGTGAAATTGGTACAGAACTTCACAGCAGGTTACTGGATAATAGTAATAGATATCACAGTATGTTTTGTTATCTTTACAATAGTTGTTCTTTCAATCACATATATCAAAATAAAATGAAATACAGAACATTACAGAACTTATCAAAACAGAATATTGAATAGAGCAGTACCATTAATCAGAATAGAGCAAAACAGAAAAAAAATACTTGCCTTCAAAGAGATGATAGAAGGAAATCCCCCTTATTTGCAATGATCAACCTCCCAGGAGATGCTCAGATTTCTGGTTCCCATTTGCTAATGGGGGAAGTGGGATGTTTGACTTGAGGCCGTGCACCAGTAGGTTCACTGTTGCTTAGCAGGGAGGCAGGCTGGTTGCTTGGTTTCCCAGCATCCTAAGTTCCAACATGGCGTGGATCTCAGGAGACACTGGTGGTTCTCCCCCTGGAAGGGCCGTAGTCCGCCACACTGCAGCCGCTTACCAGGGAGGTGAGCTTCTTACTTGGTTTCCCAGCATCCTAAGTTCCAACATTGCCGCCTAGTCCTTAATTTTTTATTTTTTTTAAATTTTGAGACAGGGTCTGGTTAAGTCACGAAGTTTTCCAGGCTGCACTGAACTCTGAATCCTCCTGCCTTAGCCTCCCTGAGTGCTGAGATTATACAGTCCCCCATGCCTGGCTGGCGACTGCATCTTAATGTAATTAATGACATCTATAAATGACATCTCCATCTAGTTCCAGAGGAGAAAACTCTGAGACACTGGAGTTAGGATTTGAGTATATTTTTTGGGGGGACACAATTTAACTCAAAACATTGGTATACTCAAGTTTTAAAATTTTTTTCTTAAATTAGATTTGTTAGGATATTTTTCTAGGAAACTGTTCATTTTATGCAAAATTTTGAATTTATTGTCATATTTTGTCATATAGTTAAAGCTGTGCCTGTCCTTATGTCCCTGTTGTCATTCTTTATAATATTTGTATTTTAGATTTTCTGAATCAACCTTGCCAGGAAGTTTGTCAACTTTACTAGTGGTGTTTTTTGGACAAACTCATAACCTTGCACTTGCCAGGCAGGCACGTAGGCCACTGAGCTAAATCCCCGGGCTGTTTATTAGTGTTTTTAAAGAACCAGTTTATGGTTTGCTTATTTTTTTGTTTGCTTATTTTATCTTTCCTTTGCCTTCTATCATATTCATTTTTGCTCTTATTACCACCAATTGCAGCACTCTACAATCTATGGCTCTTTTGTGTTATTTTATTTCCTAATTCCTTGAACTGGATGCAGAATTCATTGATTTTCATCTTCTTCCGGATTCTTCTCCTCTTTTCTATAAGCAGTTGAAAGCTATAAAGGTTCCTCTCAAACTATTGATTCAGCTATTTCCCAGAGTAGAGATACTTGTTTTTCATTTTTACTTCATTCTTAATCTTTTCAAATTTCTGATATGATTTTTTGACACCCAGTTATTTATGAGTATTCTTACATTTGCCAGTGTGTATAATGTCTGTTATATTATTACTAGTTAAAATGCAGCAGTGAAAGACAGCATCATGATTTCCACTCTTTATTGCTTGGTGAGATTTACTTGGTGGTCTAATGCGTGACCAGTCATTGCAGGTGTTCCATGGGCGGTGGGAAAGTGTACGTGTTCCCCAGTGGAGTGTAGGAATAGCATGGAATCAGGTTAACTACAGTAGTGAGGTGGGGAATCATGTGATTTGTTCTGATCAGTGGAATTTAAGCTTGGACTTTGGCTTCACTTTCTATGCAGACAACTGGGCACAAAGAACTACAAGCTGATGGGGAGACCCCTGACAAAAGAGTCCAGTTGTCTGACACCCATCTGGAGGAAAGCCACTCCAAAGGACTCCTTCACGTGAGGAAGAAACATGCATTTGGGATTAGGGATGAGGCTCAGTGGTAGCACATTTGCCTCATATGCATGAGGCCCTGGATTCAATCCCCAGCACCACTAAAACCAAAGCCAAAATGATACTTTATTAAGTCACCTAAGTTTGGAAAAGGATGTTTATTTTAGCACCTAATGAGCATTATCCTGACTAATACAGGCTTTATGTCCTCGAGACAATGTCTCAATTAGTTGGTCTTATGCTTTGGATATCAAATGGTACCCACTCTCATGTGTTGAAGGCTTGGTTCCCCGCTGATGTTGCTATCAAGAGGTGATGGAAATGCCAGGCAGCGTCATGGCGCAAGGAAGCTAAGTCACTGTGCGTGCCCTTGGCATAGGCAGGGTTGGCGCCTTCTCCTTTTCTCTGCCTCCTGGCTGTCATGAGCTGAGTGACTCTGCTCCATTGTGTGCTCCCTGTCAAGATGTTCTTTCTGCCCCATCACAGACGCAAAACAACAGGACCAAGCAGCCAGGGGCTGAAGCCTCTGAAAGCATCAGCCCAAACTAATCTTCCCTTTTTTGAGTTGATAATGTCAGATATTTTGTCACAGTGATGCACGGCTGGCTAACACAGCTTTACCCAGGCTGATTTCCTATCCGCTCTCACGTGCTCACAAGTGTTCCTTGTTTTCTCTGCCTAACGTGCCCTTTCCGTAGGTGTCTTCATGACTTATTGTCTCATGTCATGCTTTATTGGCTCTTGGCCCAACAGCCCTTTCCGTGTGGTCCTATGGGTACAGAAGCAACTTCTCTCCCAACCTGAAGACTCACGCTGCTACTGGGCCCTTGCGGCACCCAGAGTAGGAAGAGCAAGGCCTTTGATGCAGCAGAGGCTGACATAACACTGAGGAGCATTTTTGTCCACTGGCTCTATTTTGGACTAGAACGTAAGTCCACGGGAAGAGAGGATTTTTTTTTGTCCACTTCTGTGCCTCCAGCCTCTGGGCCACAGTGTGTTCTCAGCACTGAAGGCAGAAAGTCTCCAGGTCTCTAATCCCAACTCCAAAGCCTTTTTTTGAGCTTCAGACTTGATTGTTAGCTCATGCTAATGACTCTTAATATTTTAAAGCTGACTTCCTTTTAAAACTTTACAGTATCAGTCTTGATAAATATATACCATATGAAAACCAAGCTTCATGTTTTAGAGCAGACTACAACAAAATTAAGTGGAAATACAGAGATCCCCAAACACCTCCATTACCCACTCCCAGCCTCCTCTACTATCAACATCTCCCACCAGAGTGGTGTGTTTGTTACACTGGATGACACACTGACACACCAATTATCACCCTAAGTCTAGTGCTTACATTAGGCTTCACTTTTCCTGTTGTACTTTGTGGGATTGGACAAATGTATAATGATACATATCCATCACTGCAGTATTACACAGAGTATGAAAATCCTAAAAGTCCTCTTTGCTCTATTTCTCGCTCCTTCTTCCCTAACCTCTAGCAACCGCTGTCTCCATAGATTTCTGCATTTTCTAGAATGCCACACAGTTAGGGTCATTCAACATGTGGCCTTTTGAGACTGGTTTCTTTCAGTTAGTAACGCTGCACCTAAGTTTCCTCCGTATCTTTTCATAGCTTGACAGGTCATTTCTTTTTAGGGTATTCCACTGTGTGGATGTATGGTTTATCCATAACCTGTGTAAGCGATTATTTATATTTACTCTGATTTATTTCGGGGGGCTTGTGTATAATGTGTATTTTTTTGTTTTATCCCTTACATCCAGTTGCCCAATACAAGCCCTGCAAAGCAGAACTCTGAATAAGGTTTGGTAAAAATCCTTTTGAGACTGCTAATAGCTCACATGCTCACATGCTCAGCTATATCTCCAAGTATTGGATATATTTTTCTTATGCTCACATTGGGTGTTGGAAATTACAGCCCTAATGGTGTGTATGTGCCTTGCCTGAGCTAAAACCAGCCAACCAAACAAAGCAAACAGAAACTGTGTAGAGTGAAGGTAACTGCCATCCTTACCTTTGTCTTATTCTTTATCCATTCTGTATCCAGTTCTATTTTCTTACGGGCACGGTGGTAAATACAGCAAGGCTTTCTGACTTCACTTACTTCCTTGAATTTTTCCTTAGTCTCTTTCTCGTCTTTTGGTTGAGTTGATAGATGAAACGTGAACGTGGACCTTGGACCTGTCATTTAGTGATGAAATGATGACTGCTTTCAATCGTGATTAGATCGAAGGTTGGGAAAAAGAAAAGAAACTCAGAGGTCGCTCAAGGTGCTAACGGGAATCGAGGCTTGGGGATCAGTTCCTTTCCACGGAAGGAAGGCTGCCAGACAGCAGGAAGAGCAAAGTGTTTGATGCAGGAAGGCCAGGGCTGAATTCCAGCGCTCTAGTGCTTCTGTCAGTTCACTCAGCAATGCTGCTAAGAGCCTAGTGTGTGCCAGCCCAGTGCCAGAGGATGAAGGGTAGGGCGGGGACCACCCACTCCTGAGGGGGTCCTGCGGATGTGGCTCAATAATGCGCCAGCTGCAAAGCAGTGAGTGTTGTGCTCCCCAGCGACAGATGTGGCCGCTAAATGAACAGGGCTATGCTGAAGAGTTGGTAACGAAGGGAAGGCGCATGTTAGACATGTTTTAATTTAAAACATATACATGTATTAATATGTCTTTTCAAATATAGGGCAAAAATCTTTCTTTTGAAGCCTGAGGGCAGGGGCTCTGTGATCATTTTTCCTCTAACCACATCCATAATTTATTATTTAACACCTTCATCCTCGGCAGTTTGTAACAGACTGAGCGTGGAATTGGAAAATCTTAAAAGTTTTTGTGCATATTCCCCAATCTTTTGTGTATGTTTGGCCTCTATCTAACTCAAAGTAATATTTTTAAGAAAACTATTTTCTTATTTAGTTTTGAGCTTTCAAAAAAAAAGAGGGATTAGGGAGGGCAGAAAAGCAGCGTTATTTTTTTCATAGCAACAAGCTTCTTTTTGTAACAACTGAATTTTGGAACTAACCTAGTAAGGACAATGGAGGAACAGTACTGCTCTCTGCTTTTTGGTAAGGGACATGGCCAGATGTGGAGAGGACCTTCTGTTTGTGGCAGCAGCCAGGACGCTAGGGGGTGACACATTGGAGCTCAGCTCACTGGGCAGCTGGGTTACGAGTGGTCGGATTGGAGAGCCTGGGTGGGGGCGGATCCCACCGTTGGGCCAATCCAGGCTGTCCGGAGAGCTCAGAGGAGGGGCTTAGCAAGGCTTGAAGCTGAGTGACTCTTGGCGGAAGGGGGTCTCTCACGTGCCCGTGTCCCAGCATCCGCGTGGCGTGGTTACAAGTGTCAGCGGGAATGGGTGAGTGGCGAGACGTGATTTAGGAGGGACAAGCAGGAGTAGATCACTGGTTCATCTGCTCACTCAAGAAATACTTATGCTGCTTCTTTATCCCAAGAACTGCCTCAGTGGAGACAAATACTATACAAGTAGATAGGTAAAGATGTAATATACCAGATCATTATGAGTGCTAGGAAGAAAAACTGAGCATGGCTAGCAAAAACGCAAGTAGGGTGTGTGTTTGTGTGTGTATGTGTGTCCGCGCCCACTCTGTCAGATAAAGTGTAGGCAAAGAAAAAATTTTAAATGGTAGCATTTAAGCAGAGACCTGAATACTGATGCCATGAGTGCTCTAGGCCAAGAACAGCAAGTACAGCAAAGGCCCTGAGGCAGAGACCATTTGGCCCGTTTGATGAATGACAAAAACGATGTGGAGAGGAAATGTTGGGAGCCCTGTAAACAATGTGGACGTTTTCTTGGAGGACTTTGAACAGTTTTTGAAAGGTTGTTCTGCAAATAATGTGAAGAAAGGACTGAGAGACGGGAAGATGGAGTCAGGGAGACTGAGATCCAGGGGAGACAGGAGGGTGTCTGTGAGCCCCGGGCTCCCTAAAGTGGGGTAACGATGCCTGCAGCTGTGGCCGCCTGTGGGGTTACTGTAAAATGAAACACGCATAGCGCCACTGCCAAGCTGCGGGCGATGTGTCTGTGTCCTCAGAGCTGAGCTGCCTTTGATGGTTCACGATGCCAGCTGAGCAATCTTCTGCTTCTCCTCACCAGATTGGCTGGTTCCGAACAGGAAAGGCTACATATTTGAGGCCACATACCTTGTTCTAAAATTGTTAAGACTTCCAAGGCAGGAAGAGCAGAACTTTAAAACAAGCAGATGACCACTGTAGACGCAGAGCCCTGTGTGTGCTCCTGTCTGAAGCCAGCCTCTGCTTGAGCAATGGGGTGCTCGGACCCACGGGGCCAGGGGCAGAACTAAGGAATAACGTGCCCTAAAATCTTTTCCCAGTTTGTGGGTTTTCTTTTCACTATACTGGAGATTTCTTTTGACATGCAGAAACTTTTTAATAAGAAGTGGTCCCAGTTATTGATTCTGGGAAGAATTTCCCGTGCGGTTTGAGTCCTGTTCATGAATTCTTTACCTACTCCTATGTCTCCAAGGTTTCTACCTAATTTGTCTTCCAATAGATTTAGTGTTTCTGTTTTAATATTCAGATCTTTGACCCATTTAGATTTTAATTTAGTACATGGTGATAGACATGGGTCTAGCTTTAGTTTTCGGCAAATGGAGAGCCAGTTTTTCCAGCACCATTTATTAAAGAGACTGTCGTTCTTCCAGTGAACCTGGTTGGCTCCTTTATCAAAGATAAGGTGGTTGAGTGTGTTCGTAGTTGTGGTTGTATCTTCTAATCTATTCCACTGATCTTCGGCTCTGTTTTGATTCCAATACCATGTTGATTTTACTACTGTTGCTTTGTAGTATAACTTCAAGTCAGGGATTGTGATGCCTCCTGCTTTGTCTTTGCTGCTTAGAATTGCCTTTGCGATTCTAGGTCTCTTCTGGTTCCAGATGAAATTTAGGAGTGATTTCTCTAGATCTATAAGGTATGTTGATGGTATTTCTATTGGGATTGCATTGAATCTGTATAACAGTTTTGGGAGAATGGCCATTTTCACAATGTTTGTTCTTCCTATCCATGAACAAGGGATGTCTTTCCATTTTCTGAGATCATCTTCAATTTCCTTTTTCAGTGTATTATAATTTTCACTGTATAAGTCTTTCACTTCTTTCGTAAGAGTAATTCCTAAATATTTCATTTTTTTGCTTGCTAATGTGAATAGTCCAGTTTCTCTTATTTCCCTCTCTGTAATTTTGTTGTTCGTGTATAGGAATGCTATTGATTTCTGAGTATTTTGTATCCAGCCACATTACTGAATTTATTTATTGTATCTAAGAGTATTTCAATGGAGTTTAGGGGGTCTTCTATGTAGAGTATTATGTCATCTGCAAACAATGATAATTTAACTTCTTCTTTTCCTATCTTTACCCCTTTTATTTCTCTTTCTTGCTTAATTGCTCTGGCTAGTACTTCCAGTACTATATTAAATAGGAGTGGTGATAAAGGACATCCTTGTCTTGTGCCCGATTTTAAAGTAAAGGCTTTCAATTTTTGGCCATTTAGTATGATGCTGGCTGTTGGTTTGTCATAAATGGCCTTTATTATATTGAGGTAAAGACCATTTATTCCAATTTTCTGTAAAGTTCTTATCATGAATAAGTGTTGGACCTTATCGAAGGCTTTTTCTGCATCTATAGAAATGATCATGTGATTCTTATTTTTGGCTTTATTGATATGGTGGCTTACATTTATTGATTTGCGTATGTTGAACCATCCTTGCATTCCTGGGATGAATCCCACTTGGTCATGGTGTATAATCTTCTTGATGATTTGCTGGATCCTATTTGCCAATATTTTATTGAGGATTTTTGCATCTGTGTTCATTAGGGAGATCGGTCTATAGTTCTCTTTTATAGTTGGGTCTTTCTCAGGTTTTGGTACTAGAGTAATATTTTGGTATTGACTGACAGCTTTGTTTTGCCATATTTGGCTGTATTCTTCCCCCCCCCCCAAAAAAAAAGTAATAAGCACTAAGGAGTAATAAAATCCAAAATGTGTAAATTTTGTTGTAAAAAAGAGAGGGAAAAAAAAAAAAGAAAAAGAGCTCTAACGGATATAACAGCAAGTGTGTTTAGGGGTGTTAAATAGCTGACTATATCAATGTTTTTGGATCATTGAACACAGCTGTTTGCAGTCTCCCTGTTTGAATGTCCACCTTGTATTCTTTGATACTGTGATTTGAGGAACTATTTTCAAGATGATAATATGTAATCTACTAACAGGTGATTTCTTACTGTTATGTTTTTTTGTTTGTTTGTTTGTTTTGGTTTTTTTGATTTGTTTTGTTTTTTTGTAGTTCTGTATTACGTGTACCCTTACACCGCTTTGGTTTGTTTTGTGTTTTTCTCTTTTTCCTCTTAAATTAAAAAAAAAAAAAAAAAAAGGAATAACGTGCCCCACTGTGTGAGCCTCAGTGGGGGGCATATTACTCCTGCTTCAGTAACTGAAGGCGACAGTCTCTCCTCTTCTCTGCCCCCTGCCTCCAATGAGGACTTGGCTTACTGGGTCTCCGGCCTGTTCTCTTCTCTGACACACTGAGCCCTGAGTTTGGCCCGAGAGGCCTTGGGCATGACTGTGGCTTTTCTATTTAATTGCTGGATGATCTTGGGCAAATCACTTTGCCTCTCTGAGTCTTAGTTTCTTAGTTCCATTTCAAATGGTAAAGATTATTTTGGATCACAATGTATGTGAAAGTACCTAGCCCACAGTGTTGATTCCTTAAGAGTGGTATTGGGGCACACCCTGCTATTGGGAAGTGTTCCCTCTCTTGAAAGGGAACCAGAGGACCTGGCTTAGGGAGAAAGCAAGCCATGTTTGATGAGTTATGTCTCTCATCATTTCTGTTTGTTGGCTTTGAGTTTCTCATTCAGGTTGCCGGATGACTTTACCCCTCAGCCCACATTTTCCATGATTAGATCCATTAAGACCAGTAACTTCTATGATTGGCAAATCTTAATAGCTGGGCCCCAAATGCCTTCAGGGTCAGGGCAACAGGGTTATTTCTTTCTCAGATTTTAAAAGGTGTCTTCTTGGAGCCCCTCTCCTTGTCTTTGGGCCAGAACCCTCCTGTCTCTCCTGTAGTCACCTTGCTGGTCATAGATCTTAACGATCCTGTATGTAGTTCACACTGTCTTGTCTATCCTGAGCCAATAAGCCCACTGAGGCGCTAGACTGTGGCTGTCTTGCTTGATGTTTGTCTTCTGCACCTGGAGCCTTGTTAGCCAGAAGACCCTTGAGTGAACAAGCATCTCTGCCTCCTTTCCGGAGGAGGCAGCTAGGTGCAGACAGGAGACCAGAACAGGGTGGGAACCGGCAGAGTGCTACTTACTCTCACGTTTCTTCAAAAGCAGTAGGATTGCTTCTTTGAACATTTCAAAATTTTTCTTCAACCTAAAAAGAATGTGAGTCATCTTTAGAGGCCAAGGTTAAATTTACTTTCCAGTATTATGCACAGCACAGGAGACGCTGAATGCCTCAGAGTCTCCTAGTCAGGGGAAAGTTGGCGGATGGCTCTGCTTTCCGACCCACCTTTCCCACGCAGTGGAAGCTTAGGAGTCAAGGCACAGCACGTGGTGTCGAACCTGTGCTTCTTGCCTGACCTCTAGCTGACCTGCAACCTGGGCATAAGGCTGACTCCCAGCTCTTCACAGTGAATTCACAATGGGCAATCAGGGAGTCCAAATGCAAGTGTGGCTCTGTGAGTTACGTTCAGGTGGCTTGATTTTCTATGGCTTGGCCCTGTCCTAGTAAGGGGTGACATCCAGATGGCTTGGAAAAACAGCATTGTCTGTGAATTACATAGAGCCGTTTGAAACTCTTTGCATTTAATAGGAAACACGTTAAGTAGGCTCGCTCAAAATGATTGCTCCTGAAAGCCACACTAAGGCACAACCTTTCTAAATGACGCAGTCTCCCACCTCCCGTGTCAATACACAAAGTGAGTCTTTCTGGCATTTCAGTGGCTCTGACTGGTTTACTTCCAAATAAAGCAATCAGGTTTCCTAGATCTCCAAGAGTCCCCTTGAAAGGGTATGTGCCAGAGTGTGCATCCTAGCTTAGCTGGATATGAGGAGGAGGCCTTTGCCATGTAGCTTAGTTTCTTTGGAGAAAGCCTAGTAATTTAACTCAGAACAACTTCAGCACACAAATAGCCTGGAGGAGACTGCTATTTCACCTTAGCAGAGAGCAATGGGCTACTATTTGGACTCAAGAAGTAATAGGGAGACTAAAGAATGGGGTCTTCATAGTCTAATCCACCAAATGTTTTACTTTCAAGTACTCTATGTGGAACTGAAGCAGTTACCTAGTTTATTGGCACCTGTCAAAGAAATAAGGAGCATGGAGTGGGGTGGGTAGAGACCTATCGTTTGGGTCAAGAGCAATATGCTGAACAGATACAGGATTTAAAGTACAGGGACAGGATCCAGCCAGAGGCCCCCAAGGCCTTCTTGGGAAGGAGTGGGGGTTCCTCCTTTGGCTTTTGCTCCCTGCTACAGACCCACCTTTAGTTTCCAAATGGCAGAATCTGTGAGGTACCACTGCTGTACCTCTAGAGCATTGCTTGGCCCACAGCAGGTGCTCAGGGAATAGCTGTTGAGTCTATCAGGTTGCAGTGAGACTGTTGCAGGGTTAAATGGTGAGAAAGTGGAGGCAATGGCGTGTAACTGGCAGGATGACTTGCTGAGATATATTTGGTGTTTGTTTCTGCTGATCTCAAAGCTTGGGTATTCTTTATGGTTTGCTCTCTGGTTGTTTTGTTTTGTTGTTTCCCCTTTCTGGAGAGGTCTTGGGGATCTGTTTCCCATAACTACTGAGCCCACAGTGGACACTACTGGAAGCCCATCTCTTTCTGACCTAGTGAATGCCTGAACTTGCCACAGTGATTACATAGGGCATCTTGTTACTGTGCCTGTGACTCTGGCACCACTGCTGTAGAATCTGTCACAAATCCATGCCCTCCATTCATACCCTGTGTTGCTCTCCAGGTTCTTCCTGTGGATAGGGGACATCCAGTCTTCCACGCAGACAGCATGTCCTGTACCTGAGACTGGATGCATAGTGGGGTTCTGAGTCATTTGTGAACTGGGCCCTGGCCAGCTAGAAACACTTGGTGCCAGCGACAGTTTTGCAGCAACCTTGTCATTCTCCTCTCCTCCATAGTCTGAGGCTCTGGCTATGACCCCCGTGTCAGTGAAGCCCATTGATCTCCCTCCTTCAGAGAGCATGGACAAGTATTAGCCAGTGTAAGGAGGAGCTAGGGAGCTTGTGAACAGATGCCCAGGGTCTTGATGATCCCTGACCCTCTCTTTTAAAGGGGTTTGGTCTTGTTCTTTAGGTTTCTGCATGAAATCATTGTCCCTCCAAGACATTTCTGGCTCTAGATTTCCAAGTTCTGCCATTGTTTATCTTTGTTCCATTCCTGTGATTCTCGTGTGTGTAATTTGCTCACTCTTGAGTTTTGATCTTGCTCTGATCATTCTGTCTGTCTGATCCTTGGGTGTCACCCTTGCATCTGGCCTGGTCCTAGTTTTGCTCTCTTCCCTGGCCCCAGTTATACTTTCTTTGCTCCCAGTTCTGGCCTCCCAGAGCTCACCAATCCGTAGCTCTTCCTTTCAGTTACTCACACGATCCCCAGCTTCCTTCTGTTTTCACTTTCCAGCAACTTAGTCAGGGGAATATCGAAGTCCTCTTGCAATTCTTTGTGAGCAGCTATTTCTTTGATTATTGTATGCAACACTGCCTGGTAGGTGCTGCTGTAAAACTACAAAAGGAAATATCCAGAAAAGCAAATATCCAGATACCAAGTGACAATATGTTGGTAACAAAACAAAACAAAACAAAACAAAACAAACCCACAAATAGTAATGTAGAAGGGTGGTTAGCAAGAATCCTTTAAAAGAATATTTCCATTACCATCATACCCTCTCCTTCCTACCATTTCCCTCAAGAATTATTTTAAAAATTAGTAGACCAAGAAATACTGAGTGAATATAAAATCTCCTCTTTCCATTTGTGGAGAAGACTATAGCACATACAAAAATTCTGTATTTTAAGAGCATATCAAGCTTTCTGCATTCTCAAAATGGTCACGCTACTGGGGTGGCTTGTTTATTCAGTGACAAGACAGAGTTTTGTTTGGAAGTAGTGTAATTAGCACATCATTGCATTAGTCAGGTCTGCATTTGAAAATTCTTCCCAAATCTGACCATTCTATCCCAGGTCTGCACTGTTCATAATGACTTCCTCTAGGTGGGTGCTCACAAGAGTTTTTTCTTTGGATCTCTTGTGATAGAAGGTGAAGGCTTGATACCTTTCTAGAAAAGAGAGCCAGGAGTTGGCTAGTTGCGCATCCCTACCTCATCTACAGGTTGAGGTTGTTATGGATGTTGTCCAATATGTGTTAAAGGATTGCCATCAACTCATTGTCCTTCTATGGTACGCGAAAGACTAAATATCAAAGCTGTGAGAAGTGGGGCAGATCCAAGAATACGGTTGGTGTTTCTAAGCTGGGGAAAAACCTGATGCCCTATGTCTGGCTAGACTGATTCCTGGACTTCTCCTCATTGTTCAAATCAGTGCCTTTGACGTTAGGGCATTTTGAGTTAAGGCCCTTACTGCTATTTTCTTGCCTCTAAACTCCCCATTGTTGACAATCCTTCAGTTGAGATGGGGTGACTTTATTTGCTGTGGCCAGTGATCTATCACTACCCTTTTGCATTCTGTATTCCATTCACCAGAAAATACAACGGTCATTGTAATCCACTTGATGTTCTTGTTCCATCTAGGCTGAACCACTCTGCACTATTTACCAACATATGTGGCACCTTAGGGTTTTATATTATTTACTTGCCCCCACTATGCAGTAGAACTATCCTTATCATGATAGGAGGTTTATTGGATACTTTAGTGATGAGGCCTCCCATGCTCAGAGATCCCTCTGGGGAGAATCACTGGTTGTTGCAACCAAAGGAATTTGCATGCACAGCGAGGCTTGTGTATCACAGAATAAAAATGAGTGTGTGATAGTGAACTAAAGACTGTCAATGACTTAAGCTGTCAAAACAGCAGATCTTGAATGCCTTATCCAAATAGAAAGGCTTTAGCTCTCTCTTTCTAGTTTATACCCTAGAGCTTTCTGATAATGTCTCAAAAGATGCCTCAGCAATTTACACACACAAATGTTGCAACTGCAGGTACTGTGTGGCATTCATCTCCTTCTCCTGCTCCTGCTGGGGCTCTGCTGGGCCACCTCTGCTGCTTACCAGGCTCTTCGAGAAGTCATAGTGCTGTTTACTATGGTTTGGATGTTGAGCAGCCCCCAGAGGCCCATGTGTTGAGGGCTTGCTTGATCTCATGGTTGTAGTAAAGGTGAAATGGGGGCCCAATGGAAGGTCTTTAGGTCATTGGACAACTGCCCACTAAGAGGATGGTGGGACCCGCTTCCCCTCTCTCTTTTTGCTTCCTGGCTCAGTCAGATGTGACCAGTCACTCTGACATGCAGCCCTGCCATGATGTGCTGTCCTTACCAGAGCCCACACCAGCAGCTGGCTTGGTCTTAGAGCTGAACCCCCAGAGTGATGCACCAAAACGAACCTCCCTTTACTTTGTAAGTTGCCTGTGTCAGGAATCTCACTCACTCCGGTTATACAAAACTGGCTACTATCATGAATCAAGAAGATTTTGGAAACTGGGCCTCAAGTGCAGCCTCACTATCCTGAGTGTGCAGTTTTGAACCACAGAGTGGCATGGAGGTCAGAAAGAAAGGATTCTCCCTATTTTGTGGCATATTTTGTCAACTGGACCCTAGAGCAATACTACATGTGTGTCCAGAGTTTCACAATGTGCTTCATAATTGGCTTTCACAAGCGAGTGGCCTTTACAGCTCATGCAGTGTTTCAGCTACAGTTCAGCTGTAGTTCTAGTCTATGGCATTTAGATAAAAAACAAGACATGGTGTCATCCCCTTTATATTTTTTTCTGGATCCTAAAAACCCTCATGCTAACTGCAAACCAAACGTTCCCTGGCTTACATAGGAAAACCATTAGGGTGAACTTCATCCAGTACGACCCATGTCCTTATGTAACAATAGAGAGGTGATGATGTGAGGGGACAGGGAGACGATATCACCTACAAGCCAAGGAGAGAGTCTGGGCAAGGCCCTTCGCCCATGACCCCCAGGAGGAACCACGGCAGCTGACACTTTGAGTCTGGATTTCTTCCTTCAGAATTGGGAGTGAATATACTTTTGTTGTTTGAGCCACTTGGTTCATAGCACTCTGTTACAGTGACCTTAGCCAACTAATACAGGTTCCAAATTAAAATCTTCAGTTGAGAGCTTTTTCCTAGGATCTAGACTTTTTGGTTTTCAGTTGGACTTTGTCTGGATGATGTTTTACGGGCGCTTGAAACTCAGTGTGTCTTCAAATGGAACTTCCTACTTTACTGAACAATCATGCTCTCCTTCCTCTCCTCAGCTTCCCTCTCTACAGAGTTTATTTTGTCCTACATAATGGCAAATGGATTGGACAGGCCCCAAGGCAATCGGACTTTATTATTTGTCCATCTGTTTGTCCATTCTTTCTTCTGTTCTCAGTCTCCCTACTCCTTCAATCTGTCATCTATATAGCAGTGAGAATGGCCTTTAAAAAAGGATACATATCCTATCATTTGGGATTGAACTCAGTATTGTTGGGAACTCTGGCTGGCTCTCCTATGACATACTGCTTTCTCCAGATACACTCTAGATTACATATTTACAAAGGTCCCCAAGTCAGCTAAATAAATGAGTGAATTATAAAGTTTTTTTGAGAGTGAAATGACATTTCTAAATATAAAATAGTATCCAGCAGTCATATAAGAAAAAATGGATTAATGAACCTATCTAAAAATGAAAAAAGACCATGTCACAGAAAATGCCATGAAGAAATTTGGAATATAAAACACAAACTGAATAAAAAGCCTTAAAAAAACTCATGTCAGAAAAAAGACCAAGTTCTTTGACATATAAAAGGCCCTTCGCAAAGCAGAAGAAATAAGTAATATAATAGAAGAGTGAACAAAAGGCAGAAGATGGCCCTGTAAAGACTGAGACACGTGTGACCCACCAATGTGAAAAATGCCTGGCACGGTTCATAATGAAGAGATGCAAGGGGCCATGGTGACACGTCATTATTTTCACTGTGTCAGATGGGCCCAGTTACATCCTTGGTGGGACTGATGAAGGAGATGCTCTGTGGTCTCCAGGGAAAAGGAAAATGGCCCAACCTGTGTGTGTGTCGGGAAATGTGTCAATACCTTCTGAGCTAGGGATGTAGATTCTTTAGATTCAGCATTCATCTCCTGAGAATTTATTCTTTAGATATACTTGCTGTCCAATAATATATGTACAATTCAGTGCTCTCTCCTTTTCTTAATATATATCAGAAGCATCCGATGATACAGTGCTAGTTATGCTTAAGATATAACAGAATACCATGGATTTCAAAAATATGCTATTAAGAGAAAGGAGAGCTATAGAACAGAGCATATATGATGAAGTCTTTTATGGATACGCACATTTTAAAAAAAGCTCTGAACATTTATATATGTATGAAACTTTCCAGAAGGCCAAAGAGTACTACACAGTAGCTGTTACTGGGGAAGTAGGAGGTAGAAACTTGAAAAATTTATTTTATAGACTTTTGACTACTTCAATATTCAAAAATCATGTGGACATGATAGTTGCAAGAGGCAAAAGCTAGGTCAAATCAAACTACTAAGTAAATAAACAAACACACCCCATGTGGCTGTGTCACACATCTGCCTAAAATCCTTTAGTGACAAAGCCCTCAATGGCCCCGTGCTTGCAGCAGGAGTGCCCTGCCCAGTCCACTTGTCCCATGGGCTTCTCCGGATGGCTGCCCAATGTGCCCTGCTGTTTAGGACCTCGCACAACTGTGCAGAAGAGGTGCTGCCTGTGAGTGCCTCCCGCTCTAACATTTGGAGGAGATGATCTCAGATTTTTATGCAACTTACATTCTCCTGAAAGTGCTTGACTTGTTCGTTGTCAATTCCCTGCTCCTCCAGTAGGGTTTCCCAAAAGGCTTTTTTATGAATATCCATGGCTTTCGATTTTGGTACGCACATTGAAAGGAAAGGCATTGGAAGGGGAACCAAAAGAAATAAATCAATTTATGATATTTACCTTTGCCCTTTAAAAATGCATACATCATTGATGAAACTAAATGGAGCGTGAAGAAGTGGAGGCTAAGAGGGGCCAGGTCAGCTCACAGAGACGATTGTAGGCTGTGGGCAGGACTTTAGAGTTTACTATAAGGGGAGATTCACTGTGCGTGATTTTCTCTCAGAAATTCCAAGAAATATTTTTTAATCTCCTACCAGTTTTTGTCAATGGCCAATTTCTAGAATTGCCTGTGGTTCATAATTGCTAATCAGAGCATCAGAGAGGACTCCTTGTTCCTGGTGACTCTCTGGGCCAAGAGATCACTGGAGTCTCCACTGTGACAGGTGCAAATTGAACTGTGGACCTGATAATTACAACGTGGGGCTCTCTCTCCTCCTTCTGGGAAGGGGTGGCATCTGAGACAAGAACTTGAAGAAGGTGACTCACACAGGATAATTGAGCCCCCAAGGAAATGACAGTGACTTGTTTCCCTCAGCTTCAGGATGATGTCAGTCCCTGCAAGCTAGGAAAAGGGAGAACCTTGCAGTATTAAAATCCCTGACTCTGTTGGGCTCCTGACAGGACGCGAACTCCACTGAGGTGGACTACCTTTACTGATACCCAGTCTAAGGTCTTTCTGCCTCCTACAAAGGCAGACATGTCGAGAGTGTGTGTTCCCTGACTGTCTGCTGAGGGGACGACCGTGGGAAGTTTTGCAAAAGTCTTTTAGGAAAACTTAAGAAGACCCCATAGGAATTTGAGGCAGCACTTGGGAAGCTCCTCATGGGCAGTGGCAGAGAAGAAGTGGACAAGCTGGGAGAAGCGAGGTCTGGGTCTAGACATGAATGTCAGGTACTGGGCGCAGCGAGATGGGCTGCCTTCCATGGTGCTGCCCAGGACCGAGAATGAGCCTGATCTGGCTCTGACAGCTAGCTCACTCCCACCCCATTTGGGATTGGGATATTGTAGTAGGTTTTATTGAATAAAACATTGTTAACTTGAGGAGGGAAAGTGAGTGTTTGTCATAGGAATAAGGTGAGCTCAGCACCTCTCAGTATCAAACAACAGTGCCTGGAAGTGTTCCAATGGCATGGTAATTAAACAGATTAACACCAACAGGCGTGTGACCCTGGTTCCCCCCAGATCCTCATATCTAGAATAACAGACCATAGCCCTTACATTGTTTTCCGATAGGGATGGGTTTGGGGCTTTTGCTTTGTGAATAGCTGCTGTGCAAATTGGGATCTTGCCATGCCATGAGGATTTTCTCCTGTCCTTCCCCCATCAGCACCCATCTAATCCTTCTTCAAAGAAAATTTAATAAATCCTTAAGGACAGCATTTAGAAGAGCTCCAAATTATTTGCTACCAAGGGACCACCAGACAAGTCTATCTGGATGGAAGCATGTAGGCCACTCAAACTCTACTTCCGGGGAGACTAGCCTGGACCTCTGTAAATGCAGGAGGCCCTCGTCCAGCACTTTTGAGTAGGATAACGGACTTCTGGACCTGCCTACACCATTATGTCTCTCTCTGGAGACTTTCTTTGTCTTGTTATACTCCTTCTGTAGGAGTTCTGAGGACCATGGGTCCAGTACGTCCTCAGCTCATTTCTGGAACTTGTTAAAGCTGAACCAGCAATGCAGGCACTCAAAGGCTTCCCAGCCCAGGATACTCTATTGAAAGCAGGAATATTTGAATAAATTATGTTATATTCTTACCATCATCGTCATCTTTCTCTACTGCAGTGGCCACTGAAAAAGAGTAGGAAAACTTACTATGTTTGGATGTGTGGTGTGGTGAGCCTGAATCTTTTAATCTTTGAGGGAATGAATTTAAAAGTTACCACCTCAATAGCTGGGTTACTCGGTGTGGAGGTCATGTGTTTTGGGATAAGAGGTTCCTTAATCTTTTGGCAGCACAGGTTCATGAAAGATGGATGATCTCTCTTTGCTTTTATGTCATCCTGACCACAACAGTTTAAGTTCTGAGAGGGTGAGATAGGTTTTGTTCTTCTTTATATAGTACATGCACAGTAAATGTTACTGAATGAACTAAGTATGAATAACTTATCTTCGTTTGTAACTGCAGTCACAAATATTTCCTTTCCTTGCAAAATGCCAGAGGACCTGCCTCTTGTTCAAAGTCTTACTTGAATTTTGAGCCTTGATACTAAATTCCAAAGTCAGTCCTTGGTCATTGGCCTTGATTAAGGCCGGGCTGGTCTAACATGGTCAAAAGCTCTCCTTAGCCACGGACATATGAATTCTGTGTTCTTACCTCCTTGTAGATGGATTAGTAACTTCTACAGGGCACTTAAAATCATTACAAATTATACCTTCCAAATCAGACTTCACAGAAGACAGTGCTATGATCCCTTGCTCTGTCTTTAGTTTCAATTTGGAGGATTTTCCTGTTAGACAGAAAAGAGTAGCCATTATGACTTTCATTTTACACTTTTCACAGTCTGCAGGTTGCGGGTTTCGGATCTGTGTTTTCTCTTTGGCATGCAAGGCTGGCCAGGAGAGGGCAGGCCTACGACTGGGGCATTGCCGACGGTGCTTCCTCCTCCCCTCCACTTCCTTTTTGGCTTTGGGAAACTCGCTCTAGGATGCCAATAAATTAGCAATCAGAACAGACAGCTTCTTTCTGGCTTTCCCCTTGGGTTACCACAGGGCCAGTTTGGTTCCCTAGGATGGCTGGGACTAGGACCAATTTGGAGAAACTTTTCCTGCTATGGGAATCATTCAGTTAGGTGTCTTCTAGGCCTTGGTTACAGGGGGGCATCCTTGGCACTATAGCAAATGGTGTCTCTAGTATCCTGCTGCCAAGAGCTCTTAGAGGTGAAAATGGGGGCTGTCTAACACAAATCTGCTAGGTTTGGCTGCATCTGTGGTGGGGAGGCCACTATAGTTTTTTTTAAATTATTTTTTTAGTAGAGAATTGATCCTAGTTTTCATTTTATTGAAATCAGTATTTATGCTGTGTGTATGTATTACCAAAAATACAGGGAAACCAGAATCAACATTTTTTTGGTGTTTTTTCCCTTTTCCTTTTTTTTTCCAAATCCATTTTATTTTAAAGAAAAAAAATTCAAAACACGACAATCACGAGGAGACAATGGTACATACATTTCATATTGCCATCCCCAAATCAGTCTCCCAAAGCATAAGACATCTGCATTCTGTAGGGTTTTTTTTTAAACTTTTAAAAATTCTTCATTATCCTTGTTTGTTATGTTCAGGGATTTTGTGGTCCCACTTCTTTTCTCTCCTCCAACGCTATCTTTTTCCCTTGTAGTCCTAAACACACATGTGCATGTGGCTTCACAGACAAAGACACTCACACGCATTTCAGTCTTCAGAGATGGGCAGTGAAAGGCCCACGATGGACAAGTGAAAGTGGGCTGCTGCACTGCGAACTGTAGATGGGTCCGGCCCAGAGTGCCAGGATGAGGGGCCCTGCAGGTGCACCAGCAATACTCCTGGAGCTCTCCAGTGTGGAGCCACGCACTTCACAGGCAAGAGACACTCTAAGCTCAAGAAAACTTAACTCACCATGACATACTGACGACTTGTTAGAAATAATCTCCTTTTCTTGAAATGCTCCCCTAGGATTATACTTTTCAGCATCTTCATGTTGGGTATTTGGGATCTGGGTTCTTTGTTGGCACCCAGACTCATTGCTTGAATTAATGGGTCTATTCTAGCCCCTCGGGATAAATTGGAAGAGGCAGTTCTCAGTTTTGTGTGGCAGACCATCCAGTGTTTATGGATCTGGCATATCTCCCACACATAACATCCCACTGTGCTCCAATAGTTCTTTATATAATGTTGTCTCCAGGTCTGCCTAACCCCAGTCTTTCCTCTGAGCCCTCACCAATCTGCTTCTAGCTCTGTGGAGTGTGGCATCCTCCAAACTGGACAGGCCATCCAGGTTGCTCACCAGTACAGGCTGGAGTGGAACTACCCCCTCATATAATCCTTTAGTTATATTTGATTGTGTTCACTTTTCTGTCACAGTCTTGACTTATTCAAATTTGTGGTTAAATGAAGCACCTGAAAGCAAACAGGATTTCCAAACTCTATATATCTTCATACTGTTGGTTTGTGAGACTTAAGCTAGATCTAATGGATCTCACCTAGATTACCAGTGCATTTTACCTAGCTCACTCCGGTCTCATGCTTCTGCCTGTCCAAATCTTTTAGAATTTGATTATTGTACCTCCAGCTTCCAATGCCTGAGATCACCTACAAATGTAAACAGTCCCTCTGTATCTGAGCTGAAGTCTGTCAGACGAAGGTTACACCGGACCCAGCTCTGTGCTTGTACCTTGGAAACCAGGTTTACTGTGACCCAGTAAACAGTATCTCCAGGTGGTATTCAGTCAGTCACTGCCTCATCACCTCACATTAACTTTCACCTTCTCTTGCTGTGCCATGTCCAGGAGCATCTGGAAGCTGATTGAATTTGGCTTGTGGGATTACCGCAGTCACCTGATGGAATAACCATGTCAAAAAGTAACCTAAAAGTCAATATTATGTGATCTGTTCTTATTCATCCCACCTTGGTTTCTGGTGGTTATTTTGCTCTCAATATTTGCTCCAGGCTGGTGACAGCTTTTCCAATTTCCTCTAATTCCTCAAAACCCAGAAACATGATTAAGCTGTTTTTACCCTTTCTCTTTTCTTGGGCACATTTTATCGAGGTTAAAAGATAGCAGTTACCATTCTCTTTTGATTTTTTCACTAGTCTTTGTTTTCTGCTACTACTGACTTAGTTTTCTTGTATTCTTTCCAATAAGAAGTGAATTTTCTTTCACAGCAGATTCAGAATTAAACAGCAGTTGAAGAACTGGACTTTCCCCGAATCACCATCAACCTCAGCAGTCTCTTACTCCCTTTGCGTTTTAAAAGCCCATCCGCCTTCCGTTGCTGTCT